ATTATCGGCGTCGAATCAGCGCCCTCTGGTGGAGGAAAAAGGAACGAAACCTTGCCAAATTTTGGCCCTCTAGCGGCAAAAATGTCAACTAAATTTCGAACATCGAATCAGCGCCCTCTGGCGGTAAAAAGGGGAACTAAACTGCACTCCAAATTAGGCCCTCTAGCGGCAAAAATTTCAACTAAATTTTGAACGTCGAATCAGCGCAGTCTGGCGGCAATAAAAGGAACTAAATTTGGCATGTATTTTTGTTTGAATCAGTTTGAATCAGCAATGGTTAAGCAATTGTTGTATGCAGGGATGTATGGGATGCAAGAATGTAAGTGATATAAGGGCTGTAGAGATGTAAGGGTTGCAGGGATGTAAGGGATGCTAAGACGTAAAGATTGCAGAGATGTAAGGGATGCAGGGATATATGGGTTGCAGAGATGTAAGGAACGCAAAGATATATCGTGTTGAGCCCTGTGAGGCCCTTAAACACAAACAGGTAATAAATAAGTGGGAAAGCTGAGCCGAGGCCCATGAAGAGGGATAAAGTAATAAATGACTTGGGTGGGTGATCCCCATGATACATCCAAATAGGAGGAAAATGATTAATAAGAGGGTGGAATAATAGGTAAGGCACACTGACGACCCAGAGGTTTTGGTGGTGAAGCTATCATGTCTAGTGTGGAGAGAAGGGCTGGATCAACCTTCCTTTGCTACTACTCTTGTTGCTGTAATATGGTATGGCTGAGCTCGAGACACTAACTGGCGATGAGTACATAATGGGGTATAGTCTTTGATATCGAAGCAATCTGCTTTCTTTTATGTGAATGTTTTTTGTTAAGATTATATTTAAGGCATTTTCACCTAAAAATTTACTATCACTTTAGAACAGTTAAATGTTTTAATAAAACTGTGGAATAAAATTATGATTTCTATGTAATGGTTGAATTATAAGACTTTAAAAAGTGTACAAGCAATTGATATTTGCATCTAAAGGTTGTAAGTTTATTATAAAATAAATAAGGATGGAATTTTCTATAGGATACCAGTATATCGTCTAACTTGGTTTAAATAATTTATTCTGCATAATTCAATTACAATTTTGTTCGTGTTACACAAAATAACGGTACAAACATTACAATATTTTAAAAAATAATAATAATAATAATAATAATAATGAAATATAAACAGGATTAGGGAAAGAATAAACGCATTCGGTATATTTTTAAAGGAAAATTTATTTTATCATAAAACTTGATGAAAAACCCTTTCATGATCAATTATTAGTTTTGAATAACAATTTACTTCTGTCATTCTTGCATGTAATCCGCTTAAGCCACCATAAAGCGTCGAAAAAAATTTCTTTCAACCAAGGATAATTGCAGAATGAGGAAAAGAACTGAACGTTTGTTATGAATAATTAAGGAAGAATAAAATAAGACCTAATTTAAGATGTTTATTCCTTTTTGGAAGCCACAGCCTGTTTGGCCTGATGAGCTTGCAATACAGCTACGGCCTCTTCAACCTTGGCTTTTAGCGATTCATTATGCTCCAACATGTGCAGGAGCTCTGAGTTGTCAATCTCCAACAACATCCCAGTTATCTTTCCAGTAAGTTGCGGATACATACATTGAATCAGCGGGAAGAGACGTTCTCCCAACATTTGTTTTTGCTCTTGTGGTGGAGCAGCTGCCAACATCGAGGCAGTTAATGGTTCCTGGCCTTGAATGTGAACAGCTTGCTGAACAGGAGTAGGAGCAGGGATTGCCATTGCCTGCGGTGGATTACGCATGTTCGAGGTGTACTTGTAATTTGACGGACGGCTTTGAGCTGAAACGCCCACTGCTGGACCAGCCATTGAACGACTTTGCATATTCGCACCACCCACTGCTTGTTGTCCTGGAAAAAAAAACAAAACAAATATAATTAATAAGAGCACAGAATGATTTTGAAAAGAATTGTATACGTATAATAAATGATCAATACCTGTAATAGGTCTAGCAGATAATGTGTTTCGCATAGTACCAGCTTGTGCAGTAGGAGCACGTGGTGCAGTTCTAAATGGACCTTGCATCGTAGCGAAACCAGAATTTCCAGTTTGCGCATTGGGTCGCACTTGATTCGGTTGCGCTGGCCAGCGTGGAGTTGCACGAATCTGGGTCATCTGTGCAGGTCCATAAAATCTTTGCGGTTGTGGGATAGTGGGAACGAAATAATTTCCAGCACCACCGGGCGGGAACATCTGACCTATTTGCTGCATTCGCATATTTGCTAAACGTTGCATGTACTGAGAAGCAAGATGTGCTTTACGATCTTCTTTACGCTGAGCCAGAGCAACATATAACGGTTTAGTAACTATTATGCGACCGTTCATCTCGGTTACAGCTTTGGTAGCTTCTTCAGGTGCTGAAAAACAGACGAATCCAAAACCTTTGCTACGTCCATCTTCCATCATAACTTTCGCCGAGGTGATGGTACCAAATGGTGCGAATTCTTTGCGTAATCGTTCGTCAGTTATACTATCATCCAGATTCTTTACATAAAGATTTACACCCTGATAACGATTTAAACGTTCTAATTTTAATTGCTCAAACTTTCTCTTCAGTTCTTGTTGACGCTCTGCTTTCTTCTGCGCCCGTCCAACGTACATACACTTGCCTTCAGCAACCTCTTTCCCATTTAATTCTAATACCGCTTGTTCAGCAGCGTCAGGATCTTCAAAAGCTACAAAACCAAAACCTCGAGATTTCCCATCATCTTTGATCATTACTTTATGACTGGTGATGGTCCCATATTTTTCAAACATTTCTTTAAGTTTATCATCCGTCATATCTTCTCCAAAATTCTTTACATATACATTGGTAAAAAGCTTAGCTTTTTCTCCCAATTCCTTCTCACGTTCTTTGCGGGGTATAAATTTACCGACATATACCTATATAGTACAAGTAAATATTAATGATTTTGCGTTATAACAGAAAATATATATTAATTGAAGATTCGAATAATTACCTTTTTTCCATTTAGCAACATGCCGTTAACTTTATCGATAGATTTGTTTGCTGCTTCTTCAGTTTCAAAATGAACAAAACCATAACCTTTAGAAACGCCAGATTCATCCTGAGCAACTTTACAACTAAGTATGTTACCAAAAGCAGAAAACGTATCATACATCGCTTTATTGTCTATGTTTTTGTCTAAATTTTTTATGAATACATTTCCGACACCAGATTTTCGAAGAGAAGGATCACGTTGAGACCACATGATACGAATAGGCCGCCCCTTTATCATATCAAAGTTCATAGTATCCAGTGCACGTTCCGCTGAAACACATAAATTATAGTTTATACAAGTGAAAGATTAAGATAACTATACACATATCAAATTGTTATAAATGTTAACATTTAAATAAAACTTTATTTTTATAGAAATCTATACAATACCAATAAATAAGAATTTGAAACTGGCCTAATATTAACATCATTTCCAAGTAGTTTGCAAAGAAGAGATACGTACAGTATTATATCCGCATATATGGGCTAATTTCTACTCGTGTATCAATTAATATTTTATTAATTTACAAAAACAAACCAGATACAATATTTCAATTGCAATTTAAATAATCGTTACACACATATATATACATATACATACAGATATGCATAGTAAATACGTTCATCTTAAGATTTACCATTCGTATATAATCTGTAAACATTTGTATTAAAAACGCTAATTATAAATTTTAATGAAAATATCATGTACGACGTAGAAGGGATTATAATGGAAAAACAAAATATGATTCAACTAACCGTCAAGTTGTATCTACTTTGTTCGAAGTGGATTTCAATATGGTGGCATTATATGATCCGAAACACGTGTCAAGTGCGGATACATGATGTAACTAAGGATAAATCTTAGAAATGATGTTAAGAATTTAGGTCGAAAAAATATAGAAATAAATATGTAATTTACTTACCATCAGCGGGTTGTTGAAAGTTGACATAAGCATAACCGAGCGAACGTCGGGTAATCAAATCACGACAGACGCGTATCGAGAGTACAGGCCCAGCCGATGAAAACTTCTCGAAAAGCATCGCCTCGGTGATATCGGAATGCAAGTCACCCACATAAAGCGAGGCCATTGGATAATTCGGAGCACCCGGATTCATTTTAATGTAATTCCCTCGTCGTGCAGCTGCTTAAGTTGAAAATTCTCTGATTTTTGGTTTCTTCCGTTTCTTCAATATGGCTTGCGCTCTTCCAACCACGTTGTTCTTCGTAACGCGATGATTACTATTTTTTTCCACACTTTACTTACGTTTCGCGGTTTTCAGCTACGGTTTTTCGATTTTTTTGTTTATATTTTTTGGAATTTTTATATTTTTTTTGGTTTTTTTTTTTTATAGAAGAGTTATTTCACGAATGGAGGTGGGTTGTGTGACCTATTTTGAGGAAAAAGGAGACACAACCACACGTGAACACAACTCTACTCTTAATGAGGAAGAGGCATTGAAAGTAGTTCCCTTTATGCTTATATACCGACCGCCATACGCAGTTACATCAGAAAAGTAGTTCCTTTTGCCAATTCTATACATACGACATCTACCATTTAATCTAGGGTATTTTTCAAATATATATTATAAAATACAATATTTCGTCTTCATAAATGAAATAAATTATTATTATTACATAAATTGTGTTATTTTAAATCAAGATAGTAATTTTAATGAGCGTAATATTGAATATAATAGAAGGTTCCATATTAATTTCTAGGAACATTTTAGAATGCTAGAACATACGAAACACGTCTTGCACTTCATTTTCGATATAGTCATTATCAAATTGCAAATACGTCATTTAATAAATCAATAGTGATACGAATTCTAAATACACTTAAATCATGATACTTGTAGTAAATATGTTTATTAATACAATCCCTTATAAATTAATGTGTCAAATAATTTGTAGATTGAATGAATAAGAAGCTGCAATTGCATACTAGGGATTTATTATGTTAGTAAATTGATGCTAGTAACTACGTTTTGTAAAATCGAAGTTATTCATAATACGAACGACCGCAAAGTAGTTTCGACTAGTAAGTTTTGAAAAATTTGGTTTTGTAGTGAATAAAAATTGTGAAATAATAAAAATGTTAGCTCTAAAACGTACCTTTCGTAAGTAAAAGATTGTATCTAATTTAAAAAGCTACATATTGAAATATCCACACTGTTCTTATGTAATTATTGATGCATTGCGTATTTTACAGCTGGTTTACAAAGATGGGCATACAACTTGTCTGGTTTTAATCAGTTAGGTATGAAAAATTGATAATCAATTTTATGTTATAGTACACCTGTCACTATATTTTATTTAATAAATGCTTTGTTATTCTATAGTGTAAGAATAACATGTGTTAAATAGTAGTTAAAAGTTTAAACTTGTAAACTTAATTCTTTAATTTCTTATAATCTTAGGTTTATTTCGAGATGATGTCCTTCAAGAAACTCCAGATGTAATAGAAGCACTTAGACGATTACCACATAATTTAAAAGAAGAACGTGATTTTCGCCTTGTTAGAGCTGTGCAATTAAATACCTCGAACAAAATTTTACCAAAAGAACAGTGGACTAAACTAGAAGAGGTAATTTAATGAAAATAGTTAATACAAACGTAGTTAATAAAATGTTTTTATATGTATTTCTTACTTATGTATTTTATGAATGTAATTTTTGTTGTTATAGGATGTACCATATCTTCAACCATATGTAGATGAAGTAATACGGGAACGCATAGAAAGAGAAGAATATGATGCTCAGTAAAGTATAAATTGATAAAATGTAATAATTAAAATTAGTAAAATTAATATTTATCTTATGTCTAGTTTACTAAAATTTAAACTGTTGATTTGAATCTGTAATAAATGAAAATTAAGTAGATTATATTTCTGGTCCAAATAAATGTTGTTACTATAATTATAATGTATATATAAATGTAACAGTTACAATATAAGAAATATATGTGTTTGCATGCAATAATTCAATATACCTTGCAATTTTTTATCAGTATAATATAGTTTATTATATTCAGTCCAGTGAAATTAATTATTCTGTCCGTAGAATTATTTTTGCTTATGTATGAAGTATTTGTTCTATTAACATATTATGTACATATATACACATATTAACGTTTTAACAATTAATAAATGTTACATTTAACATTTAAAAATGAGAAAAATTTCGATAGACAACTCTTTTATTTAAAGTTACATGTAGGAAATGATTATTGGTAATTATGTTCACATCAATTCGTAGCTCGTTTAACACCCTTTATGCAATGACTTATTCATCATTCCCCCCACAGAGATCCAGTGCATAGTTAGTGCGTAATATATTGTTAATGAATGTGATTGCGAATTCTAGTCATTGTTGGTTGATATTCACATAAAGCAGTTCAAATTTGTAGTACGATAATAATTTTTATATTATACATACATATAAGAGTTTCGCGGGCAAATGGCGGATCAATATTTCACCCCCACGCGGATATAAGCGGCATTCCCGATCACACAAGATTTACACGAAGTAATTTTCAGTTTTGTGAGTGAAAAAATATACCCTCAGTTTTTCTTTTTTTTTTCTCTCTTAACAATTACTTCATTATTTTGTTGTACCGTGAAGTCAACCAATACATATCTTCTATATGACCCATGAAAGAACGGTTTGAAAAGGGAGAACCGTACGGCAAATTGTAGAGAGAATGATGCAAAAAGTGGTAATGGGCAATTGTAACTTCTAAACTTTATTCTGTATTAAATTTTGTGTAACACGCTTGAAAGCTTTGCTTATTCAAACCATTTATTATTTTTATTTTACGCAGTTCGTAAGAGTAGCTTGTAGTCTAAATGTCGTGTTTCGTACAAACACCCTTTGGCAGCGAATTTAACATTTATTTCCTATTGTACGCGCAAAAAGTGAAAGAGTAAAATATCTTTTTTAAAAATCAATTTTATTAGGAATGTGAATTTTAATCAAAATAGAAAGTGTTACTATACGAAAAAGTGAAAAAGGTAACACCACCCCTTCGGGATTAAGCGAAATAAAAATTGGCAAACCGTTTCAACTTATCGTTAGTAATTGAATTTTCTTCGTGGATGTTTAAGTATCTCGTTGCTTAAACTTAATTTTCAGACAGTTATGACGTGTCTGCGAAGGTAAATAAAATAATTGCATTGCTTTCAAGAATTTTTCTCTCTCGACATGTGAAATTTAAAGGACAGGCATGTACCCATATAAAATCTATACGTTTGGTTAATTACAGATGCCGGAAGAACAACGATCAGCGTGTTTCCATACAGTGGAAACGCTGATAATGAATCTTTATAAAATTGAGCACCATATTTTATATTTAATACAAACTAAAAAGTTGAAGAAAGTGTTTAATACAGTAATTTTTCTTTTTATGCAGTTAAATACTTCTAACTGAATGTTATTAAATAATAAAAACATAATGCTATATATATCAGGTGCTGAGCCAAAATACTACCTCCGTTACATGTACAAAGTTACAAAATTGATTGTACTAGAAGTAAAATAAAAGATATTAACTATACATATAAATGTATATCCATATATATGAATTTAAACTATAAATGGAGAAATATATACTGATTTATAAATATTTGCATGTAAATGCATAATAGAAGAAAAGTTAAATCAGGAGTTCTTCCTCGATACATGTTCGCATGTTCAATGACGAGTATTACTTTTAAACATCATGACAAGAAAAAGTTTGATAAGAATAATTTATTGACAAATGTGTAAAAAAGAAAATAACAATAGCTCAAAAGAAACATCTATTAAATAAATAAAAATGAGTGTACCGTATGATGAAAACTTGGTATGGATAGTAGTAGTTGGATTCATAGTGGCGTTTATTTTGGCATTTGGTATCGGAGCAAATGACGTTGCGAATAGTTTTGGAACGAGCGTTGGTGCAGGAGTACTTACAATATTTCAAGCATGTATTTTAGCAACTGTCTTTGAAATTGCTGGAGCTGTACTCATCGGCTATAAGGTACGTTAAAGTTGAATATACTTTGTATAAACGTAAATAATACTACATTTTATGTAATGTTTATGTTAGGTATCCGATACTATGAGAAAAGGTATACTAGACGTTACATTATACGAAGGCCATGAAAAAGAATTAATGATAGGAGCGTTGTCTAGTTTAGCCGGATCTGGTATCTGGCTTTTACTAGCAACCGCATTGCGTTTACCTATTTCTGGAACACATTCCATTGTTGGTGCTACTGTTGGATTTTCACTTGTCTGTAAAGGTACTGCAGGGGTTAGTAAAACACTTTCTTTTATTAATTGAAAGCAAATAATATGTTACAATATAAGAAATTATATTTTTAGGTAAAATGGATAGCTCTTGCTAATATAGCAGCATCTTGGTTTGCAAGTCCTGTACTTAGTGGAATTGTATCAGGTGCTATATTTTGGCTTCTAAGAAAATCAATACTACAGTCTAGTAAGCCTCTAGAACGAGGTCTTCATATTCTCCCAGTAGCATATGGTCTCACTGTTGCTATAAATGTTATGTCAGTTGCACTCGATGGACCTAAATGTAAATGAATTTTATATACTTATATTTTTGTCGTTTACATCAGTCGAATTAATTGCTATATTAAACGTATTTATTTTTAGTATTAATGCTGGATAAATTGCCATGGTGGGGTAGTTTAATAGCTGCGTTAGCTCTTGGTTTATTTTCAGCCATCATCGTTTATTTATTTGTTGTTCCATGGCAAAGAAAGAGAATATTGATTTCACTAAACAGCAACGAGAAAACAGCAACAACAACAAAGTTTGGTACCTGTGATAAAAAAGAAACTACAGCATTATCTGTTATTTCGGAAGTACCGTGTAGTAGTAATAGTAGTAGCAACGGTAATACAAAAGAAACAGCACCAAAATTACGTGGTAATAGCAGTGCAAGCCCTCTTTTAATGGTAGCAGGATCAGATACCGAGGGTGTTCAAAACGAAACCGAAAGAAGAATCGAAGAAGAGCCAGAAATATCTAAGCTGTTTGCCTTTCTCCAAGTATTAACTGCAGCATTTGGTAGTTTCGCACACGGTGGTAATGACGTGAGTAATGCAATAGGACCACTTATTGCACTTTGGGCTGTATACGCAGAGGGATCAGCTAGACAAGAGGCAGAAACTCCAATGCTCATACTACTTTATGGTGGCTTAGGAATATCAACTGGTCTTTGGGTATGGGGTCGTAGAGTTATACAAACTGTAGGACAAGATTTAGCACGTATCACACCAACTACTGGATTCACTATAGAGGTATATACATATGTACATATTTATGAACGTAAGATCAAAGCATTTTTTTCGTTCTCTACTAAAAAAAAATGTTTAACATTGAAATTTCTTATTCGAATATATTTTGTTTAACATTAATTGTAGGTAGGAGCAGCGGTAACAGTTTTGTTGGCAAGTAAGGCTGGTTTACCTGTGTCAACAACTCATTGCAAAGTGGGATCAGTCGTCTGTGTCGGATGGGCTTCACGTGGCGGTGAGGGAGTTTCATGGAAATTATTTCGTAATATTGCATTCGCGTGGTTAATTACTGTACCAGTGGCTGGCTGCTTGTCCGCAGGATGTATGGCTATTTTCAAAGAAATACTTAGTTTGTGATTTCACTGTCAGGGCAACTAAACACATTTTAGTGGAAACCCTCCAATGCTACTATTGTCAATAATTTATGCAAAAATAAATGATCAAATGTAATTTAAAAAAAAAAATTAATTTTTACCTGTATACAATATAATTATTAAATACCTGATTATTAACAGTTTTTAATTGATAAAATAAGATACATACAATTATCGTTGTGTGTGTATATACATATACATATGTAGTAGTGTTGTTATGGAAACAAGTTCAGGCAAACTTTTTGACAGAAAACGTTTTATACGGATATCCTTTAAGGATTTATTTTACCTAACATTTGTATAATTTAATATGGAAAAATTACCACTTATACCAGGATATACGATCCATGATTCCACTGTAAGTTAAAAAAAATCATTCAAAATGATTACTTAAATATATTTGATTATATTTAACTGAATGAAACCAAATAAAGACGAAGGTATTTTGAGGGTTTTTTTTTTTTAAAGATTACAGATTATAGACTGATACAAAAATTTCGCTTTTTAAATGGTTATCGTGTAGTACGTGATAGGAATGTTGGCATTGGAGGAAGACCAATAGATGTTGCATCTTCCGCATATATAAAAGAAGAGGATTCCACACAGTATGTAATAAATTGTATATGTAAATAAAATTATGGAATTTTCGTTTTTCTAACATTCAAATTTACATACTATATTTTTATTTTCAACAAGAACATATTGATATTATTATTTCTGATGTGTTCCTTAATACGTATTTATCTTTAATTTTAATATTCAGCTATGATCCATCGCTAACATACGGCCGGGTAAAAGAGTACGCATATCGACAATTTATTCCACATTATGCGCTGTTCGCGCATAAATGTCTCTGCTTCAAAGCATTTTTTCGTCAGGGGGTCTTCAATTCTCCAGATGAACATTTTCGTATACGTTATGTGAATATAATCTATTTTTTGGAGGATGATACGTTATGCGTAATGGAGCCTCCAATAGATAATGCTGGTTTTAAACAAGGAAAACTTGTCAGACGTGAAAAAATTGTAAAAAATACAACGGGAGATACGTTTCATTGGAAAGATTTTAACGTTGGAATTGACGTATGTACGTTTTATAAATGAACATTATTTTAAAATAGAAATACAGGGTGTTCGACAACAGGCGGGAGATTTTTTAAGGGGTGATTCTAGGGATCAAAATAAGACGAAATAGCGTTTGCAGCTTTGTTTTCTAGTAATCAACGTTTAAAAATTCTGGTAATAAGCGCCTGAAACCTGCAACCTGCCCAGCACCGACGACTGAACGTCAGGTCAGCAGGGGTAGGTACAGTCATAACCAAGAATCATTGAATAGTAGAAATCAACCTCGTGCTATTCTGTTTCTCGGTACTGCAGCATTCGGCTTTCTCTTCTTGGTTATAACTGTACCCATCCCTGCTGACCTGACGTTCAGTTGTCGGTGCTGGGCAGGTTGCAGGTTTCAGGCGCTTTTTACTCGAATTTTTAAATTTTTAAATTGCGAATCGAAAACAAAGTCGCAAACGCTATTTCGTCTTATTTTGATCCCTAGAATCACCCCTTAAAAAATCTCTTACCTGTAGTCGAACACCCTGTATATCTGTATGTACGTGCTTATTTTATTGAATTTGTCTTTGTATTCTTTATCTTTTTAATTATCATGCATCGTTACTTTCAGGTATTTACGGTGTAATTTATCATATTATCGATTGTGATCTATTTACTAAAGAATTTTTAAACAGTCAAGGGATTGATGTCGGGGACAAGGAAGAACCACCTGTGGATCCATACACGGAATTTCGTGTATGCAAGCAGAAAAAACCGACGCATATCACACAGATTCCAGATGATACCAGACGACGATTTTTAGAGTATGATAAAATGGTATTATCGTTTACTGCCACTTGGAACGACGACGTTTATGGTATAGCGTACTTCTTAACGGACGACACAATAGCCATTCGCGAAATACAAAAGCCAAATAGCGGAAAGGACCCGGTACCAATGTTATTGAAACGAATGAAAGTACCAAAAGATTGGAAAAATTTACCACCATCTTATCCTGCTGTATACCTTGAACGAGGGGATCCTGAAGTAGTTGAATATTATACACCAAAAGATTTTATAGTAAGCTTCGCGTGATAAATTTGCAATAATAAAGCCTTTTTATTATCATCTTTTCTATTTGTTACTTTCATTGTTTATTACAGATTGGTGAGACGGTTTTTATATTTAGTCGACGCTTTCTTTTGCACGATTGTGACCCTTTCACTAGAAAGTATTATTCAGACATGTTGGGAATAACGCAACCAAAAGGGATACCTATTCCAAGCAAAGAAGTTCTATCGCCACCGGAATATAAACCTCCACCGCATATTAAGTTCGGTACACCTGAAGATACTTACGCCGGTTGTTTGTCATTGATCCCTAAACCGCCTAAAAAAGATGTCATTCGACAACTAATTAATTTCCCGAAAAAATTACGCTACTCAATGCAGATGGACGCGGTACATCCGGAAGACAGGAACCGCGACTTTATTTTAGAATACAGTTTAAGCGACGGTACGATCCTTGTACATGAACTTGAGAAACGTAATTCAGGACGTCGCGAGGGTTGCTTTCTAAAAGCAACGTTAGTTGCTAAACCGAATACCGGAAGAGACAATCCGGAATATTATACTCCTCAAGATTTTTTCATAGGAGCAAGACTTAATATTTTTAATCATTATTTCATCATACGCGGCGCTGATCTTTTCGTATACCGTTACATGGAAGAGAATCCTGACAAATTTCCCTGTGAAATACGAAATAATATCCGTGATTATTTCGTCAGAGAAAAGTTACTTGGCGACGATATAAGCATCGAGGTGAAAAAAATTGAAGATAAAGAAGAGGCAGATGCTCGTTCGATTAAAATGTTGGAAGAAAATGGTGGAAATCAATCTGATATGATAGATTGTCTAAAAGACCTTGAAACTCAAGGTAAACGCAAATATGAAGGAAAACATGGCGAATTAAGAGAACGTACACCGCCACCTGAAGAATTATGTCCAGGATTAATAACAAATCCTAAGGAATCTGATCCAAATCAAGATGCAAAAAAGCCTTCAGAAAATGAAAGAAAAAAGGAAGTAACATGGAATGATTAGGTAAAATAAGAAATCGTATCATTTTTGGATTGGTAATTACGTTTAACGCAATTTTTGTTTTAAATTCTTATCATCACTTAAAGTAGATGTTTCATACATAACTTAATGTTATGTTAAATGTAATTACCACTTAGCACTTTTCTTGTAACTTCAGTTACAAGATTTATGATTAAAATTAAATTCAAGAGTTCTGATTCTTTGGAAAATTTACTATCTGTGTACGGTATTTTTTTAATAGTTAAATTTGAATATAAAATGTATGATTTGATTCAACATTTAATCAAACATGATTATACAATGTAAATACTAAACAGTGTAGTACATTATGAGTATACCATTCGTATGTCTGTATATTATAATACAATGATAATATACAGATATGCAGTTTGTATACATATAGCATATATTGTATTAATCATAAAATAAAGATCAGACAAATCTTTGGAATCCAAACATTTTTTAAACAAAATTCTAAAACGTGAATGAAGAAGAAAATTATTTTTTAATTAAATACTAATCTGTCATAAAATAGCAGTTAGTAAATTATTTAACAAAATCTTTTGAATATCGTTCAACTGAAATACAGAAATTTAATAGAGCTTATACAATTATTCTAGTCATTGAGACATTGCTAGATGTCCACCTTCCTAAACAACTTATCCCATCTTAAACTATAAATAAGATACAATGATTGAAAAATCATTTCAGCCATAAATTTTTAACGTTGATATATTACTTTAATAAGATGCGTTTGTTTTCTTGCAACATTCACAATATAGAAATGAGGAAAGAGACTTCTACTGCCATGTCATTTAGATCCTCTTTCTTGTTATCTATTCATTGTTTACGCAAAAGTAACTATTATAATCAACATGCTTTGATTTAAAAAATTCGCATCACATCGCGGTAAATTCACTTGTTAATTTTTATACAATTTAATTGATGAACTCAGAATTTCATATTATTGTTTTCATGATAATCTTGAAATGTGATCAACTGCTAAAATACTGTTAATAAAGTATAACTTTGCTTTTAAAAAGCTTAAGAAATAAAATTTCATTGTTTGCTTTAAAATTTTTTAAGAAATGAACTATATATGACTATATATATAACTGTCAGAAAAGTAATCAAATCTACGGATAAAATTTATTGTTTTCTTTTAGTTTACTAAATTCATATTTGTTAAGCAATTTTTTGTTGTTTGTTACACTAATATTCACTTTTCTACACGTAATTCGTGAAAAACTGTCTAATTTTAGTGCTATTACTTAAAGAATTTTGTTTAAAACAGACATGAAAAAGTATACACATCTTTTAAAGTTTATGATGACGTGAGAAAACTTTCGGTTTTGGTAAAAGCAACTTGAATTTCTAAAATAATGACAAAAAAATGTTTAAATATTAAAACTGAAAAGGAAAATAATAGATTTTTTAACAATAAAAAACAACTCACGAAATCCATCAAACGGTACAATAATAATTATCATCACCATATATGTTACTATAGAGTAACTGTAAGATTATTTTCTTTTTGTCATATAATATTTTAGTTCATTTTTGTAGTCCATGAATAATATAATAATGGGTAATATACATATATATATATACTTAATATATACATATATGTATATAAAATTTGCAATAGATATAGAATATGCATAAAATAATTAGTTGACAATAATTTCTATTATTATCCAATGTTCAAGCATAATTGTTACAAATAAACTTAAAACGTCGTAATAAGCCCTTGCACCTTTTTTTAACAAAGAAAGGTGAGTCCTTTCAGCCACAGGCACCAAGTTATATGTCCATCAAAGTTTAAAATGGTAATTGATTTAAATGACACTTGCTTACAATATTGTTCTCGCATAGATTTTTTTTCATTATCAACAAAAGTTTAAGCATTTTACAAGGGTTAGTTCACATATTACAGTTTTTTCTTCTCTGTTCCATATCATTTTTTTTTTCTTTCATTTTTTTTTTCTTTTAATTTGTACGTTTAAGAAACACCTTTCGATGAATAGCACGCAACACCACACTATATGCTTATAACTGTCAGCAAGTTTACCCAATATCCCTTGAAATTGAATTATGTTCCTCTTCATAGTAGTTATGATTAGATAATATTTATAATGTCGACACGACGCTAATTATCATACAAGTTGATTATTTAACAGAAGGAAATAGTCTCAATTGATGAGAGTTTTGTCACAGGAATTAGAAGCCCTTTGTGTATCCAAGAAAGCAAAGGTAAGTAGTAAGACGATAATTAGTCGTAACGTGCTTCCTTTATGACGATTACTATCATGAATAGTATTATATTCTTTTTGTATCCACCGCTACTGGCGGGTACCTCCTCTACCTCTACCACGACCACCATCTCGATCCTGGAATAAAAAACAATTATAAATATGTATATACTTGTTATTAAAGTAAATATTCTTATAGACATTTTAATAAACTTACAAAATTTGTTACTTACTTTGCGCTGATGATGTAAATGTGACTGGTGAGGATGATGATCTCTTGGTAAATCTGAATGTCCCCTATTCCTATGGTTGGAAGAATGATGATGTTGTATAGCATTCGGTGGTGCTTTACGTTGATCCTCTTCTGCTTGCTTACGTTCATAATGTCCAAAATCATCAAAAATACTAGTCGAATGCCGATAAGTATGTAATATACGCAACACTGTCACGCCTTTCGCATGAGGGACCTCTTGCGCATCCCTCGAATTAGTCACTGGTTTGTTTTCATTATTTTCTAGTTTAATGTGACGAAGTTGCACATTAGGAACATCCTTAACGTAAATCCAACGTACACGAAATTGACCTTTCCATTTATCTTGCGACCAAACAGAGCTATTGCTCTGGTAATCAACAGGTGACACCATTTGTGCCATACCACAGAAGTGGCCGGATCCGTTTACAGAAAAGAACAAGTATAAAGGAGCACCTTCCCGGCTGGCTTCTCTATACGCTTGATCCAATCTTTTATTACCGTGTTCAGTACTACACCAAATCTCATATTTAATGGATCTATGAATGTCATCTTCGGAATAAGACTTGATTACAAAAAACCTAGCTCCAGGAGCAGTTTGATCAAATTCTACGGGATTATAATCATTCTTCACCTTTAATTCGTCTAAAACAGGATGCGATTGTGATTGGGCAATTTGTTGTTGTTGTTGTTGTGGTTGTAGTTGCTGCGGATGCTGCTGTTGGTGCTGCTGCTGTTGTTGCTGATGTTGATGTTGATGCTGTTGCGGAGGCATATGAATCTGTGACTGTGGCGGAGATGGGGATGTTGTGGGTTGTCTATTCCAACACGGTGGCGGTGGAGGAGGTCTTTGTCTTTGAACCAGCGGTGGAGGTGGTGGAACAGGAGGCTGTACCTGTGGTGGTGGTGGTGCGGTCGGAGGAGGTGCAGAAGATTTACCTTCGCCCCATGTCCCAATATCCATATTATGTTTTCCTGGCACGATAGGTGGTGGTGGCATTCCAGCCTTCTTTTTCATTCCTTGCGAAGATGAAAGCGGAGGAACTGGTTTGGCAGGCTGACTCGCAACACTGGCCCATGTTATTTTTCTAGGTTCCTTTGTTTCTGGCTTTATCGATTGATTAGATGCTGTTTGTTGTTCTTGACGAGGAACTTCTCCACTTCCTAATGACAAGCCCTGTACACTCTGTTCAATAGTCTTAATTTCTGTATTGCTAGGTGTCGGGTAGTTTTCATTTCCACGTGGTGCTTGATAATAATCTTCGTAGCGTGTCTTTCTCGGAGTGCCCCAAGCACTAAAATCACCATTTCCATGAAAATAATTAAAAGCAGGTTGGCTAAACGTATTAAAACCACCTCCCGCACTAGCAGAAAACATTCCATCCATGCCATATGCATCGTGACCTATTTGACCTCCGTATCCAGAAAGAAATGCGACAGGATCTGTTCCGTTTGACCAAGTCCCATCCCCAGCTCCAAATGCCTGATAAGGGAACGAAGTACCTGCATAGTAAGGACTGTATGGGTCACCAGTACCAATTGGATAACTTGAGTGATGCGTATTATTGCCTCCTCTCCATGAATCAAATCCAGTATCTTCTCCACCAGCATGTTCTGTCTGCGGCTGCTGCTGGTGTTCTTTAGGACCATTGCTCACTATCGGGGATGGAATTTTATCTTATTAATGAACCAAATGAATGAATGTCTCTTTTCAAAATAATATAAAGTTAACATTTTTTTTTTGTTTTGTCTTTTATAACTCCATTCAAATAACAAAACTTTAATTATTACGTAAAATTACACCATTTCATTATTGTAATATACGTAGATAAATACATATGCACCCATGTATACACACAAACACACACTATTTCAATATCACATATAAAATATTACTTATCATGACGTAACTTATTTGTAAAATATTACTTTCAAAACTTTTAGTAGAAAAATTATTATAACAGTTTTATAACAATCATACATTACATTAAGAAAAATCAACAAACTTTTATTTACTGCAACAAAAATTATAATTATGCACTGATATCATAGCGTGATATCGTGCTCAAAATGTTGGAAGCACTATTAAATTAACCGTAAGTACATGTTTTTCTTAATTCCCTGAGTAAATTACTTAACTGTACAGCAAATTAATTCATAAATAGCTTAAATAAAAGAATTAAACTTCTATTATCTTAGAATTTATGTTCTATAGAAGTATTAATTATAATACATGGTATATATTTCTTAAAAATATATAAATTTATCACACAAACAATCTTCCTGATAATTTATTAATTACACAAAAAATTATGCAATGTTTAAATATTTGATAATATTTGAATATTGAATTTTTTAAGTACTTGATACTAATCATAATGTTCAAAACAATACAAATGAAAATTTTATACAGAAAAAGAAATGTGCAATGATTTAATTGACAATTGAAAATTGTCAACTTAAAAAAAAAATTATGCATAACACGTAAACTAAATATACCGAATAAAAAGTGTAAATAGTCATACGGGCAAGTTTTATACCCAACAATTCGGAAATCTCGTGATTAACAAAAATGAAAAAAAGAACAGTATCAGAATACGAAGTCTTACCTTGATTGTTAGTTTGTCCTTTCATCCGCTGCATTCCGTTGCATGGAAAAATATACAAAATTTAGAATGGCTGTCTTCAGTGAAAGGTATCTGCAGTATAGCGGTGTGGTAGCAAGTCAACACACTGACCTGATTTGAAACAGCACCTGCCAATCCAGTTGACATAACCTGTCACACACTCTGTCTGTCCTTCACAGACGCCAAATGGACGGCTGTGCTTTAATAAAATAAAGTTTTCAAATGCAATATCACAATTACATACAACAGCGTTATGCCACTCAAGTACGCGGACACTTCTCTTTCGCGGTGAGAATAGTCCTTAACTTCGAATTCTGTAAAACCTGAGACCTCCGCGTATTTTCTCGAAATGTCTTGCCGCGAGAGAGTCTCAGGAACTCTTTCGTATTACACTTCGCAATAGATAAATTTACACAAAATTCTCAACTCTGAATAATAACTACGTGACGTGCACTGACCTCTCGTATGTATTAACAGATTGTTTAACCTTCGCAACTATAAGATCCCTATATGATCAATTAATTGGTTAATAATTTCCATCACGATTTAGTGAAAAGAAAACACCCCGATAACAAAACCGTTCTTCGCATTATTTCTCTTGATATTATTTAACTTTTACGTTACATGATATATACTCTTTGCAAACGCGTAACGTAAATATTTACTAGTTTTTTATTACTTATCAATTGCTAAAATTAGAGAATCAATGTTGAATTCCTCTATAAGTAATTTCTTAGTACTTTTGATAGAAAAGGTTTGTCGAAGAATTACTAGTAAAGCGATAGGTTTTTTGTTTTACTTACAATATCAATCATAGTGTCCGTTCGTCTAGTGAAAAAGCACTGACTTTGGAGTCCAAGTTTAACTGCAGCAAATGTCATAAATCTAATTATTTAATAAAAGCGTTAAAGTAATTAACATAATCATCTGATAAAAGCTTTCGAATATTCAATAATTTAGAATTTCAATAATTTATTTGAAATTACAAAATACACTAGACGAACGGACACTATGATTGATATTGTACAATTTGAGATTGAAAATGTCCCTAGCAGGCGCTCCAAACGCTATACAGCTACTCTTTTACTTATGTTAGTTCTAATGTATATAAATTGCAAATTTAAATATTCATAAAAACTAATGGTCGGTTAGCTGATAAAAAATTTGACTACTGCGCCATCTGCGCAAAAACGGCAGAAACAACTTGTCAACTTTTCGATCGAATTCTCGGTAGTCGGTAAGCCAGTGTTCGTTAAACAGAAAGTTGTTTGAATTTGTTTGGTAAAAATAAATGATAAACGATGATGTTTAATCTAGACAGCTGTGAAATTCTCTTCTTTCGACGCACAGTTGTCTGTCTATTAGTAACCTAGCGGAACAAAATTAAAAAAACATGACCCATCCGAAATGAATAAATGTTTGTCATATCACAAACGATTGTGACAAAAATATTGTAATAAGATGATATATAGTACTTTTATATGTATTTCATAAAAGTAACTAGTCGAAACAAATGCAAACCGGCCGCTTAGTTACGGATTGATAGAACTTATTAGTATCCGCTAAATATTAAAAGAGCACGATTGTATTGCAGTTTCGGTTGTTGATATTTTAAATAATGGATTATAGACGTACAAGTAAGTAGTAAATCAACCTTAAGCCATGAGTATCTTAATTTTCAACTGTCAGAAATAAAATATGGGCAAAAAAATCATGGAAGTTTTCAGTAGTTTTCGTTCTACACATCCAGGAACCTCGTGGAACCTGAAATTATTTGTGCTGTTTTACTCTATTTATTTTATAGAACAAATTTTGACCAGCTATAGCTGCAAATATTTGCAACTTTGAATATTCATTTCTCACATTTTAAGAAACCCCAAAACACGAATTTGGTTTTAAAACACCCTTAATGACAAAGATGTAAAAGTTTTAAGTCTAATAAAATAGTGTCAATGATGATTTTAAAACAATTTACATACAACCTGCGACTTTTGTACCGCTAGATTGTCAAAACAGTCCACTGTGCGACGGTCGCCAAATGTTTTGGAAAATCGGTCGGTAAATCAAATAGTTTCCGCCGATTTTGTATAGATGGCGCTGGATCAAAATTAAAAATAATTTATGGCGGTCTTTTTAAAATATAAGTTTTATATGTAGGTTTGTTAAAAAATTGTTTTATTAATCATTGGGTCTTATGCTCATTTTGACCGATTTCTAAAAATATAGAATCAAAAAGAGTAAAAACTGGGTTTTTTACAATTGTGAGTGCGAGGTGTGGTAAAACAAACACGGTTGTCATATGTTCTCGAAAACAAAGTCATGTTCAGTCTTCTGCATCTGTAGTCACTGGTTACGATATAGTCTGAGTTTGAAAATGGGCAAAATTAGAATTCTTTTATTAAATTCATTAATTCTTATTTCTTCAGGAATTTCTTTAACTTGAAGTTATAATTGATTAATCGCCTTCCTAAAGCACTTCCTAAAGCACAAGACTAAAATTTCTCAATAGCTTCGTACCGATTGACTTTTACGATACACCATAAAGAGCGGACAACGGGGAAAGTATCCTTTCTCCAATTTCAGGTCAACGTCAACATAGCGAAAAGTAGACAATACTTATCTGTTTTGCTCCTAACAAGTCATCTGTTTTCATTATAACCTACGATCTTTTCTATGAGGCATGTTCTTTTCATAGTTTCGGAAAGCATTGTAAAGTGACATCTGGTTTGCATCTGTTTCAGAAAGAAAAAAATAAATTCAAACCCCTGCATAGCGAATGAAGAAATTGCAATACTTAATTATTATTGTTATTACAATTATACAGAAAATTACAATTGTACAGAAAGGACAAACAATTTTCTTAAATAGTATTAGAAATTTGAATTTTATGTTAATGTTTATGTTAATATTATGTTACTAGTTGCAAATAATTTGCAAGTGAATTTTATAAATAATGGAAAATAATTAAACAAATATTTGATGTCTCTTAAATTATACCGCTTTCTTAATCCTAACGAATGATTGGTTAGTTACGACGGGAGGTAAGGAGGGGAGAAAGAAGCTGATTGGTCGAGCGAGATGTTTCGTTTTACTCTAGCAAATGATAGGTTGGGGAGTTACTTTGAGGAGAAGTAATGGAGTTTGGAAACGGATCCTCGTGAAAGAAAAGTAAGAGGGAATGTTAGAATTAACCGAGTTGTTGTCAAATAGTGGTGAGCCTTCGTACGAAGTGGTGAAGTTTAATAGATCTGCGAAAAAAGGTTGTGATTCCTTATATGTGAACAACGTTTAAGCAAGAGACGGTACGTTCGACTTTTGTGACTACATAACGGTGGCCTAAATTTTTTTGCGAGCTATTTCATCGTTCATTACATTCATCTGGGAGTCTAACTGAAAGTAAATTATTTGAATTTATATTGCAGTAACTGATCAGTACAGGTATTATTATCCGTAGAGCATACATAATTGTCCGTATTTCATTGTACAGCTGTTGCCATTGCCTCTTTGTGTTCGGTTTTGTACATTCGTTACATGTCATCTGGAACTATAATTGGTTTTATCAATTTATATGACGTCAAGGTAACAATGTACTCGTTTTAAACAACTAAGCATGTATAATGTTGAAATTATATATTGTATTTCTCTTTCAGCATGAACATATAATTAAATAACGTTGTTATCTTCCAATTGTAGTTTCAATTGTTATATTGCGTTTTCTCAAACAATAAAGTATCAAATGAACGAGAAATTAAAAACGTACATACTGTTAAATTAAAAGAATGTTTAGATTAAAATCTTATACTTGTTAATGTACATTCAGTATTTTGTATGAAATTTTTAGAAATTTAGTTTCTTTATCATGAAAATTTGATGAAAACATTTTGTTGTTAAAATATTTTTTACGAAAGGTTTATTAACATAACAGGGTTAAAGTTTTCAATCGCTTTCACCGATAATTAACAATATTTTCTTTGAATTTTTGATAATTTCATGGAATAATTTCTACAGTACCGATGTATTCGCCATTTGCCGGCGTGCCTGAGATTTGTTAATTCGCAATTAACAGTTTCGTGGCCTTTATTTGATTTTGGTAATCGTGTTATAAAATATCCGACAATATTGTCATGTCAACGATGATAATACTATTTTTTACATAATAAATAATAATACTATATTCCATAATACTGTATATTACGATAATATAATTGCGTTAATCACAATTGTAATCGATCACCTTATTTTAAATGTTAATAATTTTGTTTTATTAAATTTCAGGATTTTACGTATTAGTGCATAAGTTTTATATATTATTGTTACTATTTTTGAATTTATATAAAAGAGCAATAATGGAAAAACAGGAAGTGATAAAAAATTTACGTGCGTGTCTCATATCTGCAAAGGATGGTGTAAAGATAGAAAATTTAAATAGTAAGTTCTTATGAAAATTTCAATATTTCTTATGAATTCAGTATTAATTATAATTAAATCACTATAAATCATTTCAAATAAGTTTTCATTGTATGCGTTGAGACAATTATAAATGATATATTGTGATAAATATATTTGTTTTTAATTATAAATTAGTATTTAAATTAATATTTTTGTAGGAGACTATAAAATGCTAATCGATGAACAAATCCCCTATCGAAAGTTTGGCTATCCATCTTTAGTAGCCTTTTTGTATACTGTTCCTGGTATAAAGATTGTTGAGAAAGGTGCTGACGTCTATGTAGAAGCTGTACCTACTGAAGAATCTGCACATATTACAAGATTAATTTCACGTCAAAAAGCAGTATCCAAGAAACATAGAAGAGTGGTAAAATATTTTGTACATGTACAGTGGGTCACAAAAGTATTCGCACACAGTTTAAAACAGAATACCTCATTTAAAATTGGACCGAATGACTTGAGGTTTCTCGAGAAGCTATACAAATTAATTTATTAAGATATGTGCTTTTGTCGTTTTAAAAAATTACAATTTGTTGAAATCATGAAAAATAATAATCTAATCTAATAATAGTCACATTTTTATGTGAGTCTATAATGAAAATGTAAAATATGTCTTTCGTAGATTCAAATAACTTATGTGTTTGCTGAAAATTTCATCAAGATCGGTCAATGTATTTAGAAGTTACAAGTAATTAGAATTTTTGAAAATCGCGACTTTCGGAAATTTTAATTACTTGTAACTTCTAAGTGCATTGACCGATCTCGATGAAATTTTCCACATACACATAACATACTTAAATTTACAAATGACATATTTTAAATTTCTATTACAGGCTCAAATAAAAAAGTTAAAAAATTGCCTTTTACTATTTTTTTCCCGATTTCGACAAATAGTAATTTTTTAAAACGACAGAATCACATATCTTAATAAATTAATTTTTATAGCTTCTCCAAAAGCCTCAAGTCATTTGGTCCAATTTTAAACAAAATATTCTGTTTTAAACTGTGAGCAATTAATGTTGTGATCCACTGTATATATGGCAGAATTATTGTATCATATAATATGAAAATATTGTATTATTTTAGGTGAATGCTTGGAAGCCATCATCATTTCGTCTACCTATGGTGACAAGAAAAGCTGTCCGCACTGTACAAAGTACTAATCAGAATCTGTATTCACAAATAAGCGGAAGGTACAAATTATTATTATTTTTTTAATACTTATTCTCAAATGAAAGGAAGCCATTTCTTTCATTTCATAAAAAATTAATATATATTTTATGGTTTCAAAATATTAGTGTAGAGAGAGCGTTCAGATTAATGAATGTGATTTATGTTAAGATTCAAGAAACATTAAACTACTGTGTTAGCTACATGTATGTTTAAATATATGTTTAGACAAAATACATCAGTTCCTGCAATGCCAACAAAAATTACTATTTATCGAAATGACGAGAAACCCAGATACATACAATCTAATTGTGGAATATCACCAAATTCTCCAAGCAAAGTAAGCGACATCAATATTTATATATTTTAATTCAGTATTGTATTTCTTCAGTTTATTGTTTGTGTACTTTCTCAGAGTCTAAAAGATAGACAAATGAATCCTGTTTTGTCAACGAACCAAAGTGTTATTAACACACAGAGAGATACTGTATGTTTGAAAAATGATATCAAGCTGGTACCACCTTTGATGAGTCAGACACCAAAGACTGTTAATAACAATATAGAAACATTTAAAAAATCATCAAATATAAGTGAAAGGCTCAAAATTAATCCTAATATACCTTCATTGCTAAACTTAAACACCAGTATTCCAACATCTCCTCTTCAATCTGGAGTTTTGTCACCCCTTTCGCCTGGACAAATTTTAGCAGACGGTAAAATGCCACAATCGCAACAGTCACCAATGAATTCATCTGTAAGTAATTATAGGATTTAGTTGCAAGTAATCGAAGAAAGTTTATTATACGTTAATTGTTTGTATTTATAGACTTTATTAGATAATGCCAAAAAGATCGTATCAAAATCACAGCCTCTCGATCCGAGAGACGAACTAAGAGAGCGAGCTGTAGCATTGAATCTTCCAAGACCTGTATATCAAATTTATCCAACACCGATTAAAAATTCGAAGAATCCAAGTGTATTTGCACGAGTTAAGGTTTGTAAAAATCTTACCTTTGATAACGTTATTATGTTCACAATCTTGTTATACATGAAACAATAAAATTACACTTTTAGATTGGTCCACATGGATATTCAAGTTATCCAGAAGAGGCGCGTACCGAAGATGAGGCACAAAAAATTGCTGCCAGGTTCGCGTTGTTAGATCTTGTTGAAAAATTTGGACCAGTTTTCACTTTAAACGAGACTAAAGATAAAAAAATAATAAAAGAAAGAGTGTTGTCCATAGTAGATGATCATCCAAATGGTATTTTCATGCATAAAGTACCCATATATTATAAGCAAAAGTATGAAGAAATTTTACCAGAAAATTGGGAGAAAGCTGTGGAAGAATGTCCAGCAATAGTTTTAGAAAAAGGTGTTGACAATTCCATAATTCTTCGTCGATTTGTTTTATCTCCTGAAAAGGTAAAAAATCCAAAATTATAGGTCTGTATTTAAATTCGTAATAAAAACAGCTTATTTACTTTTAGATAAAAAATATAACATCGTCAAAAACGGATAAAGTACAACTGCATCCAATTGGACCAGCTGCGCCTGGACAGTTGCAATTACCAGAAGAAAATGTTTGGATTGTATCTGTTACTTGCGTCATAAGCACTACAGAAATTTGGGCAAGAATCGTAGGAGATGCATACAGTGTATGTTAAAATATACCATTGGATTATTTCTACTTTTATATATAATTTCTTTATATTTATTTATGTGATGTATATGTAGGAACAATTCGATCTTATGACGGCTGAAATGGCTAAACACTATAGCAATATTCAACAACACGTCAAACCATTAGCTATCGTAGTTGGAAATTACTATGTCGTTTTTGAAGATGATTCGTGGCATAGAGTTCGTTGCGTGGATTATAATTCTGTTGATGGAATAGTTACAGTTTCATTTATTGATCACGGCGACGAGGATATTTTCCATCAGAGTAAATTACAAATGTTGGATAAAAAATTTTGTGGGATCCCCGCACAGGTATAATATCATTTGTTTGATCAAAATACAAGAATTATTCAGGGCCGGCCCTGAGACTTTGGGGGTCCAAGGCAAGCTCCGAAAAGGGGCCCCTTCACATATATGACATAAAAAGAAGTACCTCAAATAAAATTTATAAAATTAATATTAAAGCTAAATAACTAATTTTCTTCTTGCATTCTTAGACGCAAAATCGTCTTATAGGGTCCCTGGACCATGGGGGGCCCTAGGCGGCCGCCTAGTCTTCCTAGGCCCAGGGCCGGCTCTGGAATTATTATATTATCTACTGTTTTTTTACTGAAAACTTTATTAATTGAACTATTAGGCGGTGAGATTATGTCTTGCTGGTTTGGAAGATTTTGGCGACTGCGACAGCGTTGTGGATTATATAGAAAAGTTTCTAGTACTTGGTCATGCATTGTATGCTGAAGTACTAAATCGTGGTAAAGGACAAGACGAACAGTTTGCAACGGTTATATTTTATGACACGCAGGGACCGGATGATGTGAATTTAAATGCAGAATTCTCTGAACACATTTTACAACATATAGTGGTTGCTCCTAAATTAACTGTTGGAAGTATTATTTTTGTATTTTATTTACAAAAATATGACTTAGATAATATGTAGTAAAAAAAAAAACTTCTTTTTACTGACAGGAAGAACAAGTATTTGAGGTATTTATTTCCCACATAGAACAGGATGGTGATGTTTATGTACAGGTAGAATGTGAAAGTATGAAGCTGTTAGTCAGTTTATTAAATCGGTTAATATGTACCCGATTAAATGCAGAACATTTGGAAAATTGTACTGTAACTACCGTTGATCCTAGTAAAACGTATTTTGTCTCTGTAAATAATAATTGGTATAGAGGAAAAATTGTAGGTAATAGTCTTTACAGTCAATTAAAAGTATTTTTAATCGATTTCGGTAAAACTATTACTACAACGAAAAGCAATCTTCTTTCTTTGGAAAGATTATCTGAAGTTTTAACAAAATATCCTGCTCAGGTATGAATGTAGTTTAATTTTTTTATAAAATTTCACGATATTATATATAATAATTATCATATATTTCTACAATAGGCATTAAAGGTACATCTTCATAACATTGACAAATCAATGGTTAATGAAAAGATGATTGCAAAATTTACAGAACTCGCACCAAAGGGTGAACCGCTTCTTGTGAAGGTTATATCAGTTGAAAATAACATACCGGTTGTTGAATTATTTAGGCGAATTCAACCAAGCAACATGCTTGTTTCCATCAATAACACTTTGGCTCTTGAAGAACTTGCAAAGTATGCTATGTGAAAAGTATCATATACATATGTATTATTAAATATATTGAAGTGTCAGATAATAATAAACTGCTTTTTATTATCATTTCAGAGCCCACGGCGATGGAAATAATAATATAAGACCAAGAAAACGTATAGAACGCATGAATTCTAAACATTCAACAAATGAAGATGACGACGTCCTGAAATCTTTAAAACCACCTAAAATTTCGGGTATCGGTGAATACTTTGACATACACGTGACGATGGCAGCTCATCCTGGAAATTTTACTATTCAACCATTTGAGGATAAATCTGCTTTGGAAGTAAATATTATTTCATATTTGAAATACATTATTTCAAAATAGTGGGGGAAAAGAAATGAACAAATCTTTTTATTTATTTATGTTTAGGCAATGATGATTCAATTACAAGAAACTTGTCGAGATTACAAAGGTCCTGCACCTACTACGGAATCAGTAAGAGAAGGGAAACTTTATGCAGCTAAACACATTGATGGTCACTGGTACAGGTATAAATATAAAAGAATGTCTATTTTGAATCGAAATCTTTCAAATGAAACTCAAATAATTGGTATGTATTTCCGTTTATTTTGAAGGGTCTGCATTTCAAGTGTAATTAAACAAAATATGGTCAGTGTTTATTTTTGTGATTTCGGAGACGTATCGGTACTGCCATTAAGTAAATTACAGCCACTGAAAAGTCAATTTTTGGAACTACCATATCAAGCTATTAAAGCAAGACTTTCTGGTACGTAATTGTTTTCTTTCTTTTTAGATTCAATTTTATTTCAAGTTATATACAAAATTAGTTTGTATATTTTTGATTAATAATTTAATAATTTAATTAAATTCAATTTTAATTACAATTAATAATTTAATAATTTAATTAAATTTAATTATAATTAAAATTAATAATTTAATAATATAAATAAATTTAATTTTAATAATACGAATAATTTAAATAGGTATACGACCGATCGACGTTGACTGGTCTGTTGAGGATAGTTTGAGATTTCAAGAATTGGTTGTGGAGAAAGATTTTGTATCAATTGTTGTCGAATCAAAGCCTGATGTACTCTCTCCAGCTGACACTGTATTGGGTTTAAAATTAATCGACGTTAATACAACTGAAGATATTTACATCGATCAGCTTTTAGTACGCGAAGGTCGAGCTGTGTTCGTTGATTAAATAGTGCGCATAGCATGTATGGGCAGTGAAATTAATAAGTCATTTAATTTTTCGAATTTCATTCTAAAATACATATGTACGTATAAATAATTCTTTCCTATACACGTGCTAAAAAATCTTTGTACAGTTTTATGCTCCAAGACGCGGTTGTTTGTATATAACATGAACTACAGTAATAATAACCTTTCTACTTAATGATGATTGGTAAAACACAGATATCGATGACTGTATGAAGAAAAAAAAAAAAAAATAACAAAAAACAAAATGTGTTATAAAAATATGGAAAGATGAATAAGCGTATATACATACATAATATGTTATATTTATATCAATAATTATATCATCGAAAAGTTATTATTTTTTACTTTCTTGCAGATAATAATTTATTGTTTTAACGTTCTAAGAAATATAGTACGATATGTATACGTGTATATTTCTTAGAATAATTTATTATAGTGTTATAGAGTAACTACTTACGTACATGATTTTCGTATATTTTTTGTTCATATACTTTATTTTTCTCATTAGAGTTTTTTATTATTTGATAAACTTTTTGTTTTTTACATGTTAAAGAACAGTGTAGTTGCATAGAAGCTGGCTGTGGCGTTTAAGACTATAAACATAACTTGACAAAAATTAACAGCATTCCGTTTATTGACTTGTAATATGCTGCTGTTCTTTATCATTATTTGTTTCCTATTCATCGTTTTTTTTTTAATTATAGGATATATTGTATGATAGTATATTATTTTTTGTTTGTTTTTGTTTTTGTTTGATATGTGATAAGCAATTTTGTTAATTGATAATAGCTTTCAATCTACTGTAATATCTTTTATTATCATATTATTAGTAACGTATTGTACGCATCTTAGTTATTTTTAGCAAATGTAAGACAAAACAGATACAGTTTTAGTGGTATAAAGTACGAATACTACGATTTTATTTTAAATAATCATCTGTTTTTCCTTTCTTCAGTATTTTGATTAGACTAAACAACTATGCGATTCCAGTAAAATATAATTATTAAATGTGTTTGCTTTGTAAGAAGATTTTTATTTTGTTAAATTAGATGTAATGTTGTAACTTAATGTTACGTTACAGTAAAATATTATTTTTGATAACGATAAAAGGTGCCAATAAATACTAATGTTTCTAGAAAAAAATATGTTCAATGAATTTGATGAAAATCATTTCCCCATTTATCCCATATCAAATGGCCAAAGTCTCGATTGCCTAAGATATAAAAATTACCACGTAGAGCGAGAGGAATCATTGTTCAAATTTTTCATCATTAACGTAGCCTCCAATTCAAACATTTATTAATTATTCCATTTCAAATATTTTTATTTGTCGTTTAGAATGCTTAGAATTTCCTTTTTTACATTATGACAGACGAAAAGAGATTAGATTCCGTATTCATTCTAAACAACGATTAAAAATGTTCAATTTTTTTATTGTGCTATACCAACGGGGTACCGAGCCGTTTGTTCGCGACCCACGTCAAGCCCCGCTTTCGCAGCCGACGCTGCCGTCCCTGAGCCCGCGCGCTTTGATTCGCCAGTGTTTTTTGTTAATAATTCAAAAACGAAGCTTCAAACAACATTTTCGCAAAGGAAAATGTTATTCAGAATCATCCCAGCTACCACCCCATCATGGGACCAACGCGAGTTCTGGGACACCCTGTATAAATACATCTATCGCGATTAATTACCGCGTTTTCTCGATCATCCCTTCTTTTTTCATTGCATCCAAGAGGGGATGGAGCAAGGTGTCTGACGTCAAGAGAGCCATCGTACGGTGACAAGCACGCGTTATAGTTACTCGTTTGAAGATCAGGTACCGACTCGATAACCGATTCTGCTCCGTGAAGAGCGCGGTTTTTATCGTTGGCGGATGCCACTTCGCGATTTTCCTCGTGTGTCACCGTTTCCGTTCGTGGATGGCAGTCTTGATGCTGGAACGAGAGGGCCACACGGAGTCGTTCGTTTATTTTTGTCAAGTGTAGACGGGAATCGAGAGGTAACGAAAAATACAAAATTCTTTGATTTTCAATTTATCAAATGTATCATATTTTAGTGTTCTCTCTTCTTAGTTACGTTTAATGCGAGCTCCATTGGTATCCATTCATTTTCTAATTGCGATCGTATCGTACTTGGTCCTTTTTTAGCTGTAACGGACACATTTTTAAATTTGACCTCACCGTTGAACTTCTTTTTACCAAATAAGGTATACATATATCTTTGAAACGTGTCTTCAGCTGAATGTTCAGAGTGTACGTGTTCAAATGTGAAAACACGTACTAACGAATAAAATTGTATTTTTAATATTGCAATGAGATTATTTTCGGGGAATACCGAGGGGGACGCATTTCATTTAACCCTTTGGCGCTAATGACGACCATAGTTCAGTTTTCAATCCTCTAAGACAGGGGCGGGCAAATAGCGGCCCGCTAAGAATTTTTTTGTGGCCCGCCAAGACAGTCAGAAAAATTTGCCTTGAACCGAGATTTCCTTCCTGTGCGTGACCGAAGATTCGTCTCGTATTTTTTTCCACTAGGACGGCCACGTCAATACATTGATTTTTATGGTACAATTTATACCTTTCTAAAATGCAAAGTTAACTAATGAATGCAATAATTTTAAAAGTTGCGGCCTTCCGTTAACCGCCGGTTCCACAAAGTGGCCCCCAAGCCAAAACAATTGTTCGCCCCTGCTCTAAGATGCAAATGTTAAAAAAAAGAACGATATATTTAAATTATTTAATTGTATTGGAATAATTTAAAAAATAGAACCACCAAAGGATTAATGTAATAGAAAAACCAAATATCAGATGTAACGTAATCATACCTAACGAGTAAGAAGGGAGAACAGTTGTTGATTGTTACCTAAAATAGTAAATGGCGATTGATATATTGTCAAAAGGAACACAAACCAGCAAAATGAGAAAAAAAAAACGAAAGGAAACGAAAGTATAACAGGGAATGAAATTTTTAATAATCTGATCGAGGAGTATCGCGAATACTCGGGGGGATCCTTCGCGTTCGTCTCTTCCGCCAGAAATCTGTTGGCTAATTTCGACTCACGAAGGAACAACGCTCTACTATTCTGTTTCAATGTTTTCTGTTCAGTTAAAAGTGACGCAAGTAAAAAAAAAGTTCTTTCTCCTTAAAAAAAAAAACGATAAAGGAGAAAAAAATCTGCCTATAAGTGATATAAATTTTCAACAAAATTCTTCTTCTTCTTTGGCCTTCTAAAACGTTGTACCACGCCGGGCGGGACATTCGAGAAATTGGCTTCCATTCTTAACAAGTTCTGGTTTAAGGTGTGTGAAAATGCCGGATACTAAGGCAATTGCACAGCTGACAATCACAACGTGAGCGGTTGTTCGTTTCGCGGATCATCCGGGGGATAATGATTACAGAACAGACCTGGAGCATGATGCTGGACAGTGATGTCACGGGCATCAATGAGTAAGTATTTAATGTCAGTTTGTTTCCATATTCTTCATTTTTTCACACGATACCTTATGTTCGACAACAGGTGGGAGACTTTTTAAGGGGTGATTCTAGTGATCGAAAACGACGAAATAGCGTTTGCGGTTTTGTTTTCCAGTAATTAAAGCGCCTGAAAACTGCAACCTGCCCAGCACCGACGACTGAACGTCAGGTCAGCAGGGGTAGGTACAGTCATAACCAAGAATCATTGAATAGTAGAAACTTAACTCGCGCTATTCTGTTTCTCGGTACTGCATCATTCGGCTTTCTCTTCTTGGTTATGACTGTACCTGCCCCTGCTGATCTGACGTTCAGTCGTCGGTGCTGGGCAGGATGCAGGTTTCAGGCGTTTTAATTACTGGAAAACAAAGCCGCAAACGCAATTTCGTCATTCTTAATTTTCGTCTTATTTTGATCCCTAAAATCACCCCTTAAATAAATCTGTTGTCGAACACCCTATACACCGTATACAGAGTATTGCTGACATTACAGGGTTGATCAGAAAAAAAAAACACTATTGAACGAAACAAAGAAGTTTTAACACCTTGTCTACTCATCAACGAAGGAATTGGATAAACACTATTATTACTTATAATACTTATTCTACTAAATCTTAATATTTGTAGTACATTATAAGTAAATACTTATTGGTTGTAACACGTTTGGTGCTCAGTCCGAGATGGAAGTTGGTCGTTTGCTTTGTACGTTGGGCCACGCGATATCGCGTGATCGGCAATTTAGCGTTAACAATTAAGTATTCTAATTAAGGTGCGTTGTAAAAACGATTGCTTCTCTTAATACACTTTCCTAGCTTATAGAATTCAGCAATACTCTATATAAGTACATACATAATGTATGTACGAAAAAGACTCAATTATTTCTTTGTTTAATGCGACACAACATTAACACAATAACACACTGTTCGGTAAGTTTCACGTCAGAATTGTATCGACCAAATTTCGTGCTCTCAATGGTGTATCTTCTTATAAAAAGAGACACAATCTTATTGTCTATTAAAAAAAGGAAAAAAAATTGCGTACGGATCGATACTGTCGCGTATTTAAAAATATGTGTGCACTAATTATAATGTATCGTTCATGTATATTTTGCGAGAATATCCTTCGTGTTCTTGTAAAACAATTTGTTGTCTTTTGATGTGTTAGAATCATCTTTTTTTTTTAATTTATATCGAAAGAAAGAAATATGTATATTTTCATTTCTTATACGTGAATCGTAAGTTTGAAATCTGCTGTTTTGTAAGCAAGATTTTTTATTTGTTACATTTATTTATATATCGTCGTCCTATTCTTCTCTAAATTCTTGTATGAGATTTTATAACTCGTAAAGAATAGCTTGTGAAATTTAACGATTTCATAAAACTAGTATTAAAGTGATATATCATCGATGTAAAGAGTAATTTTTATTATTCATTTTACGTGGAATATATGTATATTAATTTGAAAGACAGTTTCAAACTCACAATTGTACGTATATTATTAACAAAAGAATAAAATTGTTTTAGTTTTATAGAATTAATATTGAATTAATTAGTGTGCTGTTATCTGACGTTTTTATTAAAGTTCTTTTTGTAAACTGTTTGTATTTTACTGTTTTTCGTTGAAAAGAAAACCTTTTTGTAAAATGTTGAACACAATTAACATAAACATAAAAACATTTACATCAACATCGTGTAATACAAAAACGGTTCGTTATTGTTTTTTTTTATCCATATAAAATTGATGATCATATTGAAAGGTTTCTGATAAAAAAGTTGTTTACCTACTTATCGTGACCTGTATAAATGTTTTACAACTACGTTATTTATACACCGTTCAAAATAATTAGGGGATCGTTCAGGGAAACGGCTCCATTGTGCTTATAGAAATAAAAAAAAAAAAATCTGAGAATATTCTATCTGCTTTTAAAATTTTATAATTAATTTAAAAATTTTTATTTTATACTTTTGAGTAAAACAAAAGTTTGCTATCTTCGCTATTATATCCTCATGTACGTGATTAATCTTAAAAAGAAAAAGAAAAAGAAAATTGTTTATAAAAAAGATACCCCAATTATTTGGAGCAACTTTGTACGCATCTGATGTGTATTCATGTCTCAATTTCCTGGATGTTTTCAATTTAAATGTTCCTCATCAACGAGAATATATATAGTATATTAACAGACAAGTTAATCAAAGTCTTTTAAAATCTCTAGGTTGAGTATTTCCCCGAGGAAACAATTATGGATCAAGGCAGTGAAGAAGCTGACTTCCGAGAGGCTGGGAAGGGAAGGATTGGCGGCATGGGAGGACCGGAAGTCTCACAACGATCCGGAAGTTCCAGACGATACAGAAACGATCGAGCCAACCGAGGATGCTGAAGATTCAACCGAACCGGACGTGGTTATTCCTGAACAACCTGAAGTTGATGCTGAATCTCAAACTCAACGAGGTCTGACTAAATCGGTCAATTTTCAAACGATAAAACTTCATTTATCTAAACGTACATGCCTATCATGGCTCAGGATGATTCAGATGACCAACAGAGTTTTTTAAGAGTATCTTGATTTGTAAAATAAGTAATCTTAGCACAAAGATACTCTCTAATACACCCATACCTCGCTATACGGGCTAGATAAGTTCCGGAAAAGTGGGCCGTAAAGCGAAAAGCCGTATAACGAATCAATTATTTTGATACAAACTGGTGATGTGCGGCCCGACTAACGTGTCGGGCTCCTGACTAGTCGGGTCGGTTCGGATAACATCGGGCGGGCTCGGGCGGGCGTCCGATACATGCGTGCAGTCTGGTACATAGTCAGAATATTTCGGAAAATTATCTTATTCCAAAATTCCATATAAAACAGATGTTGCACATGTTTATTGCAAATACTATTAACAAGTATATGAGAGTCGGGAGCTCGTCCGAATCTGCCCGACTGTACCGAATCCGAAATAGTCGGGCTACTCGACTACACGTATGCATCGGATGCCCGCCCGAGTCCGTCCGATTTTTTCCGAGCCCGCCCGAGCCGTTATATCAGGTACGCGCGCATCCCTAATACAAACCCATACAAATTCAATTGGATCTGTTCGAATTTTTTATAAAATAATATAGTTTTTAGTTCATAAAGCATTTTTGGCCCCTCCCCAGGCGGGCCGCGACCACCATTGCAATAATCGTGAATGTCTGTCTATCTGTCTGTCCCGCTCCGTAGCGGCCAAACGGTAAGATGTATCGACTTGGGACCTTGACCATTGAACGCAGAAGGGTCGATAACCGGAAGCACGTCCAAATTTTCAGACCTCTAGGACCACTTCTTCCACCCGAAATCGGGGGTCAAAGTCCCCCCTATGAGTTACGCTATAAGTTACGCTTTGTTACGTAACCGCTATATCGCGCCGCCTTAATTTAGTGCTTTGCACTAATTGTAAATTATATTCTTTTTATTTCCTATAAAAATCCTTACATAAAAATAAAAGTGCAGCATCTTTTTTGGTCGTACAATGAAACATTGTAGGCCGTAAATCGAAAAAGTACCATAATTAAAAAAGGCCGTTATAGCGAACTGCCGTATAAAGAGCGGCCTTATAGCGAGGTTAGGTGTACATACACTGACAAGGGAACATCGGGGACTGATACACTCCGATTTTGATGAAACTTTGCATAAATATTTATTAGACCTGTTTATGAAGATAACTGTAATTCGTTAGTGCCCGTTTTTCACTTTGAGGGAGATATTAACCCTTTTATCCGAACCGCCCGTTCTATATACGTGCTTATAAATCGTAAACAACAAAAGATATCAAAAAATAGTTGAAATAAAAGTTACACCGTTTCTTGAGGTCTATAAAGCTGCGTGTAAGTTTTTTTTTTAAATCATCCTTTTTGCAAAATTAAATTTCCCTTCTCCCTCCGTTTTGAAAAATTTTACGCGGTTTTATAGACCTCAAGAAACGGTATAACTTTTATTTCCACTATTTTTTGATATCTTTTGTTGTTTACGATTTATAAGCACGTATATAGAAAGGGCGGTTCGGATAAAAGGGTTGATATCTCCCTCAAAGTGAAAAACGGGCACCAACGAATTACAGTTATCTTCATAAACAGGTCTAATAAATATTTATGCAAAGTTTCATCAAAATCGGAGTGTATCAGTCCCCAATGTTCTCTTGTGAGTTGCATTGAACTTGTCGCACTGAAGTTGGCCACGCATTCTCTCACCGACGCGACGCAGCGTGAATGCGTTAGTGAATTTGTAGCCAACTTCACTGCGACAAGTTCAATGCAACTTGTATTACATCCTAATATGCCGTACAGTGGGACAAAACGGCTTTTGGGGATCAAAATTGTGTAACTTCGGTTCTATTGGAAATATTTTAATGAAATTTTGGAAAGTTTTTGCCTACATTATGGTACTTAAGTTGTATCAATATAAATCATATTGAACTACAGGGTATCATAATATTCCCGTATAAAGTGTAGCGCGTTCAATATCCTTCACTTGATAGACATATTTACTGCGTTTCGGTTTAAGTAGCCTTCGCTTACGCTTACGGGAAATGACGGGGGTGAAGCTCGAGGATTGGTTTGCGATGAATTTTTCAAAAGTCGCGGTCGAGTAAGAAGGTCGTTTTCGATAATAATTGAACAAAAATGTCTGGTAGAAATCAAGGTAAAGAACCTGCCCCATAGTCATTGATCACCCCCAGGTACCGAGAGTATCCTCAGGTGACCTACTTGAGGCATTCCGCGTGCAGGTAAGAACTTTATGAACCCCTTTGTTCTCACTAAAAGGTGGTAAAAATATTGTTTCGTTAATGCAAAGATATAATCCGAAAAAAGGGCAATGGTTTAAATCTACGAAAACGTTTATAGAAGGTAATTGATGGCCGACAGGTCCAAACAATCATTATTGCCGCGTAGCAGTTCAGACTTTCTTAGAATATTGAAAGTTTGCTTACAACAATAAAAAAAGTGGGTTGGTTTATGATATGATGATTGTGCACAACTGGTACTTAATAGGATAGCTGGCAGATGCTTGAAGATTATCGCGATCGTTAAATTACAATCGCTATAGAAGGGATCGGCAAGTTAATATCGACATATTGACTATTTAACTGCGGGATTTAGTTTTGAAAATTTCTCACGGGATATGTAATTAAAATCAAGCTATGACGAGTATACACGTTGAACGCAAGGCAAATGCTTCTATTATAATTTTTACGAAAAAGTTAAAGAAAAACGAGGAAGGATTACATTTTTATTGAACTAAAGTTTTGGATGATGAATATACACGTTGAATGGTTAATAATAATGGTTAATAAGGCAGTTAACTGGTTAATAATCGTATCTGGCACTGCTTTTCCATCTTCGTGCGCAGCGGCCAAGATGGGTGTAATTTCATTCAATCGCCATTTTCTCGAAAAAGTGCAAAAATGTGCACCCAATTTTTTCAGATTCTGATAGAGGAAGATTCACTCTTTCCTGTAGTAATAATTAAACATTCGGCAAGTGACGGCATTTTTTTAAAATCAAACACAAATTCGAGATTTTAGTTAAATGTACTTCGTTTCAATCAGATTCTATTATTTAAAAAGTTGTTAACATTTTAACTTACTTTATGCACTGAATAGAATCTATACTAATCTAGTAAACTTTATAATTCATTTGAATTTTATCTTTCCGAGTAAAATTCATTAAAATCGTACATTGAAGTTACGGGTAATATCATCAGCGTTTCGTTCTGACGAATTTCTACTGACTTTGAGTACGGACCAGGGCAAAACGGAAGCAAATATGAAAAAACGGATTACACTACGTTAAACTACAGTTTATTCTCTATCGATGTATGCAAATAGTTATTCAATTTTCGAATTTACGAAAATCGACGTTTCATCGCCGAAAGCCCCACAGTTTTGTCCCATTGTGCGCCGCGGCACGTCGAATGCTATATAGCTCGTTTTCACCCGGTATGCGTGTACATATTGTATACTGGGTTAAAAAGAATGACTCTGTATTCAGTGTACGAAGAATAGGTAAATACCTGAAGGAAATTTGTGAAAAAAAATTGAGGATTCCAGATGTTCGGAAGGTTTATAGCGAACCTGGTGTCACAGCAGGACAATAGTCCCTTTTTATGAGTGCAGAGGATTAAGGCAAAATTAAATAGGTGCAATTGAACCTCTGTAAAAACATTAACTCGAATTATTCGCCATATGTTTAGGTACGTTATTTGATCATTATAAAAACGGAATTTAGGGGAACTCGACATCTGCGAGCCGAAGATTGTGTACCTCTATAAATCAAAGTTTTCTCATTGTTCTTTTTACAATTTTAGAAAAAATGAAGTTTTATTGTAATTCGCAGTTCACAGTTGACTGTTTTCAATAATTGCTCTCGTGTCGGTAGCGAATTATTTAACGAGTCGTTGGTGGCGCGTGTTATTAACTTATTCTGTACGTACTTACAGCCTTCGGCTATAAATACGACTGGATATTTTCAGATGTTTTCAAGAAAGGAGTACTCTATAAGGGAATATTTTGTCCGTCGTTGTCGAACAGCTTCCACAGCAAACAATTGGAAACATCGTACTTGCACTATTCGAATCGTCAACGGCAGAAGTCATTGATCATGCTAAATATCGTTGATCTTAGCTTAAAGGTAAACCGATCCTTTTCCATTTTCCTTCGTCAACGTGTATACCTACTACACGTTATGTTTTCTTCCTCTTTTCATTGAATTTTATACGATATCCCACCGCATTAGATTATTCTTTTGGCGATATGGCTGTGGGAGAGGAACGAGAACAGCAGCGGATTAATCGAGTCCTTGTCTTGGGCATTCTGCTGCATGGCTGCAAATCTGATGGTTTGCGTTCTCGGCTGGTGGCGGTGTTTCTCCAACAATTATTTGTACTGGGCTTCCATATTTACTTGGTTACTGATCAACTCACAAGGTGACCATTCGTAAATCCATTCGTGTAAATCCAATGGAGTTGAAATCATCCAGTGTTTTGTATTGTACAATTGTAGTATCGGTGTTATAGAAAATATTTAATATGAAAAAAAAAAAAAAGAAAAATGGTTCACGACTTACAGGGTAGGTAATACTAAATTAGACTGTATGCTAAATGATCAGTCGATCAATTGTTTTAGAGGTGCAAAAATTTATTAAGAATAGCTTGCATCCTTTTCTAATTTTCTGTATGCTTGATATATTTTTGTTTCATAGAATTCTGAATTTTGCATGTCTCTTGTTTCCTCGTTAGAACAGAGTGCCTTTGAATTGAATCCTTTTGCTACGGGATTTTATTTCAGTATAAATTCTAGTCTATCCCATTGTTTTCTTTCCCTTATTTTTATACGGAACGAGCGATCAGAGACCCCTGATTATAATCACCCTCAGCGCGTTCCAGCCATATGGCTGATTATAATCACCCTTAATAGCGAAAGTGTTAAACTGTGTAATCACTGATTATAGAATAATTAATGCTTTTAATTAATTTACGATACCACGATGATTCTTTATCGTTGATTAGATCGATACAAGAATCGTTTACATACCTACGTACTATATGTAGTTTAGTAAGTATGTATTACCTATCCCGTAAGTTCGGAATTTCTTTTTTTTCTTCTTTCAAGCATGTCTCTTTGTAATGTGTATTCAGTTCAGAATCACCCCAGCTACCACCCCCTTAAAGGACTAACACTCTTTCTGGGACACCCTGTATGTTACGGTTCCGGCGATTATGTATAATTGTCGGTTATTATATACAGGGTGTCCCGTAACTGGTGGTACAAGCGAGTAGGGGTGATTCTACGTGAAAAATTGAATCGAAAATGTAGAATAAAATTTTTTCATATGATGCTTTATTTTTGAAAAAAATAAGTTTGAAAATTTGTCGAGTACGCCTGCACTTGGACCAACTTCAGCCTCAGTAAACATTGCAAGAAGCAAGGAAGTACGGGACAGTAAGATAGTAAAATCCGTCGAACTGAAGCTAAATCAAGTACACGCGTACTCGACAAATTTTCAAACTTATCTTTTTCGAAAATAAAGCGTCATATGAAAAAATTTTATTCCACATTTTCAATTCAATTTTTCACGTAGAAGCTTGTACCACCAGTTACGGGACACCCTGTATAATCACCACTAAATTTGGTAAATGTGATAAATTATTGAATATTTATCAAATTAACTAGCGAGTTTATATAATTCCCAACTCGTAATGGCGAATGTGATAAAAGTCCATAATTTTAACAAAATTCGTCCAGTTTGCGCAGCTGCTATGATTTGTAAAAATTAAGGTGGAAATGTCGATTAAAACTCAATTAGAAGTGAATATTATTGATGTATTAGGTTAGGTTAGATAATATATTTAAATCCGGTTATTATTTAAACAACACTATTATTTTAGGAAAGCGTTGCCGGCAGCCATAAGGCGACCGGATTTAAATATATAGCCTAACCTAACCTATCACATCTATGTATGGTTTTAATAATAATAATAATAAGTTTAATATTTTGAAGGTGGATACGTTAATCTAAATATTTACCAACGATATAACATTTATTCATTTATAATAATAAACATTATTTCTAAAAATGCATCTAATCATCCATATAACTTAAAATAACCATTTATTGAATTTTATTACCAATATTATAAAATATTATTATTCGCAGCCTCTTGTGCCATAGTGACCAACGAAAAACTATCCTTCTGACTAGTAACTATTCAAAAAACTGTGTTCCATTATACTGGCTCAATCAGTCAAGATATTTATCACTCTGGCCAGTAGGAATTGGGAATTATATAAATTCGCCGGTTAATTTGACAAATATTCAATAATTTATCACATTTACCAAATTTAGTGGTGATTATTAGTACCAATTTATTAAATTTACCGTAACATATATATGTATGTACACTACCGTCAAAAAGTATGGAAACAAAGAAATTTAAATAAATAATTCAACTACATTGCATAATATAAAATATATACTTCATCTATATAATAATATAGAAGAGAACAGTATTAGAATTAAGCAAAAGAATACAATGTATAATCACTTATCTCGACTTTTAATTATTTTATAAAACAATTCAAATGTTTCCAAACTTCTTGGCGGTAGTGTATGTATGTAGGTATACACGTGTTCTCGGTAAGATTGTATCTTCGTTTACCGAATAGAGTTTTGCTCCATTGGCTCGTGCGTTGGCGGTCCAGCGAATTGCTTGGATGTTCATCGAACCGTAGAACAAACTTATACATATACCAGGCATGGGTTACTATCGATTTCACGATCCTCTGTTACCACTATATAGACATAAACATTAACAATAGTAAAAGCATTTTTACAAAACGATCGATGCGTATTGCAGGTTTTATAGGGGCCGGTCTAGATTTCTCAAATCAACAACGTCTCATGTGGTACATATTGTTTGTCGTGTATGCGCCGTACGCTATGCTGCCGTTACCTTTAAGATGGTGCGTCCTAGCTGGTTACGGGACAGCTTTAACTCACATGGTGATGGCTGGGATAACTTTATTACGAGATCCTACCTATGTAAGAATCTTTCGTATGTAACATATAGTAATACATAATGTATGCAGGTACTTGATTGATTGATGCAATTTTAAAATTACAGCTGCGCGATGTTACGTGCATCGTTCGAATGTTAACGACCAACGTACTTCTTTATCTTGCAATGAATCTGGCTGGTATGTACACTAAATATCTAACCGATAGAGGACAACGGCAGGCTTTCCTAGAAACGCACAGATCTATGGAAACCCGGCAACGTACTCAAAATGAGAATAATAGACAGGAGAAGTTGCTTCTTTCTGGTAAGCAGCGCTAACAATTTATTGCTTCGTTAACTCGTAACTAGGCCGCCATCCGCTTCGTGGCTGACATACCGGAGCGATATTGTGATTTAAAAGTAGAGGTGTGCGAGTACTCGGAATTTACAAGCCGAGCTGAACTCGCTTCGATTGTTCGAGCCAAGCCGAGCGCTCGAATTTTGCCGAATTACTCGAAATCGACGAACTGTTTGAAACAAAAGCGAGCTACTCGAATATTCGAGCCGTCGTAAAACTTCGATTTACTTGAAGATAAATTTTCGGCTCAAATAGTTGAGTAGTTTGATTTTTTCGAGTAGCTCGCTTTTGTTTCAAACAGTTCGTCAATTTCGAGTAATAGCTGCTGAGTTCCATCGAAGTTGTCGCAGTGAAGTTGGCGCCGTGTCGGTGAGCCAATGGGCGAGGTGCATCGGTTCACCGACGCGGCGTGAATGTGTTAATGCGCCAACTTCACTGCGACAACTTCGATGGAACTCAGGAGCTCGCATGCGAGTAGCGTGCAAATCTCGTACGAGAAGCCCTCGAATGCTACTCGCATGTACACGTTTCACGTGCGTGCACGCATATGAGCACGCATGAGCTCGAATCGATTTCCAACATGTTGGAAATTTGGCGAGTTCTCGTTCGTGACTCGCATGAAAATGAATTCGGAAAGAACGACAGGTTAGGCAGGCCATGTGCGTTCTGTCATTTTAACCCTTTATTTACTGCTTTTTTAAATCTATTTCATCTTTCTACCATTGATACATTTGAAATTCGTAAATATACTCGGACATGTCTAACCTGCACCATAGCCTCTTTTTATTGGCTGGAGTGGACTTTAAAGTCCCAATGGGTCTCAAAGCGTTTAGATTAATACAGTATCATGAGAAAACTGACGGATCTTATAAGTCCCGTCAGTAAATAAAAGGTTAAGCCCTGAGCTCGAATCAAACGCGTTGGTACATGCGATTTATGTCTCGAATCGTGTCAACACCTTCACGTATGCAAGTTTCGAGATGCGAGCCTCGAATGCTTCTCACGAACGAGATTTCTCGCACCGTGTAAGTCAGTGAAGTTGGCGCACTAACACATTCACGCCGCGTCGGTGAGCCGATTGGTGAGGATACATCGGCTCACCGACGCGGCGTGAATGTGTTAGTGCGCCAACTTCACTGTGACAACTTCGATGGAACTATGTACATACATACTTACATACATCGGGCATAATTCGGCAAATTCAAGCGCTCGGCTCGGCTCGGCTCGACCGACCGATCATTGTTTGGCTCGAAATTCGAGTACTCGCATGCCTCTATTTAAAAGTCGATCCAAACAAAAGAAAACAACCCGAGTTTTAATTTACGGAACACGAATTCATATTGGTTTCTGTGACCATTCCCCAAGGACACCACCGATCTCTGATTTTATTCTATATAAACACTCACAGAGACTACTGTGATCAGCTCGCAAAGAATGGTCAAAATTGATAATCTAGATTTTGAGTTAAATAGTCACAAAAATCCCGATCAGTCGTTTAACCCTTTCGCTGCCATGCGAATTTTTGAACTTGCACCAGTGGGTCACAATACAAATTTCATATTAACAATTTTATAATGGCAAAGAACTACGAAATATATTAAAATAACGATACAATCTTGCTAATAGCACATTTTTCTTCGGGACCACCATGGCCCCGTGACGCAGTTTAAACAAATTCATGGTGGTGACCACCATGGCCCAAATGAAAAGACAAGCGCCGGTCTCATGGGACCACCGTGGCAGCGAAAGGGTTAATAGCGGCGCTTCGCTCCAGCTATCACCCTTCCTCTTTTTCTCTCCAATTTTCTTTAATTTATTACCCCTCGAGATTTCTTGAAATGTAACTAAAGTTTTAATATTTCTTTCTCATTCATTTCTAATTATTTTATCATAGAGAGGTGAAAGGATTGTAAATTAAGCACGTCGCGTCGCCTCGGATGTTCTATACAATCAAATCGACGATCAGCCAATTAATCGACATCCTTTGACATAAATATACATGTGTAATTATTACGTATCGATGTAGCTACGTTCGATAGGTATTTAAGTATATTTATTCATGTGTCGAACACGTATTATATAAAGACGCATGGGGGTTCTGCCGCAAGTACGTGGTTCGTTAGCGCGTGTAACTTGCTCAGCCGAGTGTCAAAAAGGGTCACTAGACACTTTCACTCGATTGCGCCAGATATGTTTTACCGATAGCCTCTAGCAGTGCTTTGCTTTTACATATTATCGATCTTCCGACGATGATTTGTTTAGGAAGAACAAGTTAAATACAATGGAACAAAGAGAAAGGAGCAAACGAATCTAGTCCTCTAGCCTGTTAATTAAAACTATCTTACATAAGGATAATATTGAAAGAAAGAAATTCTAATTTCTATTGAATTTCAATAATAAATTTCTCTTTTTTTAACCTGACGATTTAATACCTGATTTCGTTTCAGTTTTACCGGATTTCGTGGCTAAGGAAATGATCCGTGATATCGCCCGTGAAACTGCTAGAGGTGGAACAATCTCCTTTACCCCTAATCAATTTCACAGAATATACATCCATCGGTATGAAAATGTTAGCATACTTTTCGCAGACATCAAAGGCTTCACTGGTACGAACCAAAATATCTATATAAAAAGTCTATATATTATCAAATTTCTTCAATTAATATTAACCCTTTCCACTCGTATGTCGTCGTACAGGCGACATTATACGTTATACCGTTGAGCTCGTATGTCGCCATATAGTCACCATCCTACATTTTATTATTATACATGTATTTTTCTAATTTTTTATACTAAACCGGCAAGTTAAATTGTAATATGCTGCCATAAAAATGTTTTCATTTTGATCGAATATGAAAAAAAATTCCAAGTTCATTGGTAGCCTTCTCAAATATAAATACAAGTGCAAAGGGTTAATGTCTCGATTTAATGGATAATTTCTGTTTTTATAATGGAGCTTTGGCCAGCCAATGTAGCGCCCAGGAACTCGTTAGGGTGTTAAACGATTTGTTCGCTCGTTTCGACAAACTCTCTGCTGAAAATCATTGTCTACGTATCAAATTATTAGGCGATTGTTACTACTGCGTTTCCGGATTACCGACCGCCAGAAGCGATCACGCTCACTGTTGCGTCGAAATGGGTTTGCACATGATTAAAGCAATCAGAGATGTGCGATTTACTACCAAGGTAATCTTCTACAAATGACCCTCCCTGTTTTTCACAAGGTGTTTCATTTTAATCTATTTATACGATTATCTCTTCGAAAGGTTCAAAAGGTTCAAAAGATTTAAGCAGAACATTATACAGAATAGTATATTATAGGCACAAATCATACTTAGGCGAAGGGTATCCTCGCGATACCTGTATCGAGGGGCGGATTGGGACTTAAATTTTTATTGGAAGATTATCGACACGACCGGCCGACCCTCTTGTAACGAATAAATTGAATTCATTGGGCCCTAAATTCCGACCGGCCCAGCGGGACTGTTCCTAACCTCTACCGGTGACCAGTCCGCCCCTGCCTGTACCTGTTGAACAGGTACAGGAACTTTTATGCGCATAATTAATATGTTTTCAGGTTGATTTGAATATGAGAATAGGGATTCATAGCGGTTCGGTATTGTGTGGTGTATTAGGACTTCGAAAATGGCAATTTGACGTTTGGTCCTACGACGTAACATTGGCCAACCACCTCGAAAGTGGAGGCATACCAGGGTAAAGTAAATTCAATACTTAACACGTACACTGTTACTCTATAAGTATCTACACTAGTGGAATTAATTCTGGACAGTTTTAAATTTTTACTTAAATTTCGCATTTATTCAAATTATTTAATATACAGGGTGTTCAACAACAGGTGGGAGATTTTTTAAGGGGTGATTCTAGGAATCAAAATAGGACGAAAATCAGAAATGACGAAATAGCGTTTGGTTTCCAGTAATTAACGTTTAAAATTTCGAGTAAAAAGCGCCTGAAACCTGCAACCTACCCAGCATCGACGACTGAACGTCAGGTCAGCAGGGGTAGGTACAGTCATAACCAAGAAGAGGAAGCCGAATGCTGCAGAACAGAGAAACAGAATAGCACGAGGTAAGTTTCTACTATTCAATGATTCTTGGTTATGACTGTACCCACCCCTGCTGACCTGACGTTGTCGTCGGTGTTGGGCAGGTTGCAGGTTTCAGGCGCTTTTTATTCAAATTTTTAAACGTTGATTACTGGAAAACAAAGCCACAAACACTATTTCGTCACTTTTCATTTTCGTCTTATTTCGTTAAAAAAATCTCCCACCTGTTGTCGAACACCCTGTATCATAATTTATATTTTATATTCTAATCATTGCTTTCTAATTTCAGGGCGTCGTTTATATAAAAAAAAATCAGTAAAAAGACCATTTACAGCCATACTTTTAATATACAATAAAAATTACAATTTCAACACATCAAAGGAGGTAGAAAGAAATTAATATTTCGTTGGATATCCTTTCATCCTGTGATTGGCTATTTCACATCATTTTTATTTAAAGATTTTTTTTAATTAAAATTTTAAAACATTTGCAAACCAAATCGTGTGAAAGTATGAAGTATAAACATTATAGATTACAATAAAAATATTACGGTATCAATTTAACACAGCAGAATATACATTTTCTGCACAAATATGAAACAAAGAATATTTTTATTCAAAGTGTTCAGAATTAATTCCACCAGTGTATAACATGGAAATATTTTAATTAGAAAATTATATCACGTACCTTATTAATAGAAAACGAAACTCTGATTCCAGGAGGGTGCATATTTCAGAAGATACGTTGAACTGTTTGAACGATGTGTACGAAGTGGAGCCAGGAAACGGAACTGAAAGGGATAATTACTTGAAAGAAAGGAACGTGGTGACGTATCTGATTAAACAAGTAGAACCTTTAAGATCTAGACGAAGATATTCTGCTCGTCCTAAGATATGGTCCGAGGATGATGCGAACAAAGGTAAAAAGAGCTTCAAAATGAACAACCCGTTAGCTGCGAACAGCAGTGCTCCAAATTGTTCGACGGAAGACGACATTGGCGTCGACTGGACACCGGAAATACCGTTCGAAAATGTTCGTATTCCAGGAACGTTAACTCGTTCACTGTCCTCGGGCAGCCGTGCCTAGAACAGAATAATATAATGTTAATATAATAGTTGAATATTACGATTATTCAACTGTACTGTTTCTTGTTTATACAGTTGAATACCGCAACATCGGTCAGTAATTTAGAATCAGAGTACCTGGAGGAAGAGAACGGTTCAGCAAAGAGTAATAAAGCAAATGCTGAGAAAGCTGCTGGCCTTGAAACAGCGAGCAATAAACGTATGAGATTGGCGAACATAAACGCTTGGACTTTGCGTTATAATGATGAAAGCTTAGAATTAAAGGTCCGATTATTGTTTCGTTAACTCATAACTATCACCCTTCCTCTTTCTTTCTCTCTATCTCCAATTTTCTTTAATTTAATACCCCTCGAGATTTCTTAAAGTGTAACCAAAGTTTTAATATTTCTTTCTTATTCATTTCTAATTATTTTATCATAGAGAGGTGAAAGGATTTTAAATTAAACAGATCCTTTTTTTTTTAAATTAAATTCTAACGATGACCAATAATTGCTTTCCTTTTTCTGCACGCAGTTTGGCCAATTACGCGAGGATATGTTTAAATCCAACATGATTTGTTGTTTCGTCGTATGGATATTTATTGCAATCTGCCAAGCTGTAATATTACCAGAGTAAGTAATTTCATTTAATTTGAAGTATGAGGATATTAGAGAAAAGCCTTGACACCTTCTTCTTTAACAACTTTACTTTTCAATAGTTGTGTCATTCTGTTGGTCTCTCTGTTGCTGACCACGTTGATTCTGATAACATCGTCCATCCTGGTGATGGCGGAGGAGTTCAAAAGCCTGCCAGCGTACTTACAGCACGCCTCCTCGATGCTGGTGCACAACAAGCAACATCGAACAATCTTCATATGTAGCGTCATCAGTTTAATGGCATTCACCTCCATTGTCGGCGTTCTAGCTTGTCCAGCGTCAATTCGAAGATACCCGGAAGCTCTGGCCATCAAACAACAGCTAAATGCTCCAACCTTGCAGCCCGAACGATTGGCAGCGACAACGGTTGGTCTCGACCAATTTATTTTAACGTTCTTGGAGGCGGCTCTTCGCGACGAATCTCTCGAGGAACGAGAGAAGATCTCTGCGAAGGAGAACGAAACTGTGCCCCATACTTCTAACAGAGTCCAAATGGAAATGACGAGGATTATCAATGACAGGGCTGGTCTGGCGAAAGGTCAAAGAAGAAAAGAATTCTTCAGGTTTTATAGATACGAACACCGCCGCGCACTCGACCCTGGAAGACATTATAAAATATTTCCTTGTTATCGTAGGGGTGAAGACGTCGCCTTTAGGAGGATAGAGTCCACCCCGGACGCGAGACCACGAGCAGAGCCCGTCTACGCGATGGACTACGATGAACTCGTGTTGGAGACAACTTGTGTGCAACCAGAGTACATAGTATTCACGTGGATTCTATGTCTGATCGCGTTAGCCTCAGCTTTGAAGTTGTACTATTTAGTGAAAACTGCACTTGCCACCATTATCGTGTCCGTTTATGCGGTCTTGATCCTGTTAGTCTGCAAAGACTTTTTCTCTATACCTGATGATGAAAAGGATTCGTGAGTCGTATTCGTTTGTCCACCGAGTTTAATCGAGTACAGTGGTACCTCGGTATACGTCTACTTTGGACAAATTTGGCTCGGTATACGACATAAATGTTTTCTGTGAATTTTGCGTCATTTTTAAATAATTATCTCAGAGGAAAAGTTAAATTAATGATCAATTATATTCGGAGTTGATGTATTAACTGTTGTAATCGTGATTAGTGGAGGGAAGAAGGGAGAGGGTTTCGTCTCCCTGGACGCCTTGAGTTCGGGCCGGAGAACGCTAGGTGGCGGCGAGAGGAACCGTGCTCTCGCAAGCGCTCGCCCGGCATGCGGCTCGAGTACATACAAGTTTCGAATCCCACTATGATAGGTGTCTGGGGCAGGGGTCGTCTGTTGTCAGCCCCACTGACGAGTCTGACAGACGATCCCGAGATGAAACACCGTTTGTTTTTTCTTTCTCTACTACAATACAAGTAAGGATATCATACAGGGTGTCCCAGGCCAAGTGTGACGGAGCTTGTTATTCCATACAAATTTTTCGCTTCTGCCAAAACATAGTTCTCATTTTACCGTACAATTTCCATATCAACAATTTTTTGTATCATTACTATTTACGGAATAACACACTTGGGCTGGGACATCCTGTATAACAAAATATGGGAAAGGTTGGTTTGGTATACTTCCTATTAGATATAAGTCCAAACATCAAGAACGGATTAAGGTCATATACCGAGGTATCACTGTAAATTTATTTCAGGAATTTTAGTACTTTTTTTTTTACTCGTATCTTGAATTTTTCAGCCCATCGATACCTCTTTCGGCACAAATGTTGACATTTCTGTTGGTGTTTCTGGTGATGGTCACGTATCATGGTAGACTGGTTGAAGTAACGTCCAGATTGGATTTTCTATGGAAGCAACAAGCTGAAAGGGAGCTGAGCGATATGATCGAATCTCGGCATAATAATATGCAACTTTTGAAAAATATCTTACCCGATCATGTGGCTCACCATTTTTTAACACAGGAGCGAGCGCCGGAGGTGTGTCACAATTATTATGATAATCAGGGTTCATTCGAAAAAGGAAGGTTTAATGCAGGGCTGTCTGGTCACCATTTGACTTACAAAACTTTTTTAGTAACCTAAAAATACTTGGATTCTACGGATGTATTTTGTCGATTTTTATTCTACTTTGGACACTCATATTATTAGATATCAACACAATCTCGTTGAACCATGACCAGACCGTCCTGTATTGGACCTTCCTCTTTCGAATGAGCCCTCACCCAGCCCCAAATCTTCTCATATAAGGGCGAAAAGTGTAAACCCCTGTTTAGGTCCATTTTTGCCGGTAATGTCAACGCACTACTATTACCTGTGTCTAACCCCTTAACTACTATTTCTCTGATTTCTTACTGACTGAATCTATTCAACGTTACAATTTGTATTCTCATCGTTTAACAGGAACTATATTCCCAATCGCGTGATAAAGTTGGCGTAATGTTTGCCAGTGTACCAAATTTCACTGAATTTTATTCAGAGGACGTTAACAAAGGAATGGAGTGTATACGTTTATTAAATGAAATTATTGGTAAGGGATGAAGTTTTCATAAGTCAGATTCTGTTCGTTGAATGTTTAAAATTGCTTAATATCTGCAAAGTTGCTGTATCCTTTTTTTCAGCTGATTTCGACGAACTCCTTGATGAAAATCGTTTTCACTGCATCGAGAAGATAAAAACTGTCGGTGCGACTTATATGGCAGCTTCTGGACTCAATCCGTGTCAAAATGTAATTCTAAAAGTAAAACAAACTGTCAGTTACCACGCTTCTTGTATCAATATTTTCTTTACAGGATACAAACAAAGACGATATGGAACATCTTTGTAGATTGGTCGATTATGCTGTGGCCATGAGACTCCGTCTCGAGGATGTGAACATACATTCGTTTAATAATTTTGATTTAAGAGTAGGTATTAGTTGTGGCCCATTGGTTGGCGGTGTAATCGGTGCCCGGAAGCCCGTTTTCGATATTTGGGGTAACACGGTGAACCTGGCTTCTCGCATGGACTCCACAGGCGTTATGGGAAAAATACAAGTTCCACAAGACATTGCTAGGGTAATTTTAGTGTTTCCATTATTCTCTCTCTCTTTTTCTTTCTATACTTTAATTTGAAAACACTTTAATTTTATTACAATAGTTCTTGGAGGCGAGAGGATATCAGACACAGAAGAGAGGGCTTATCGAAGTGAAAGGAAAAGGTAACATGGAAACTTATTTCGTACTTGGCAAAGGATCTATGCAACAAGAAGGCACGATTAAACACACCACAAGATGTAGAAGCCTTGCAGCAGTCGTGTATGGTGTCGTTCAAGCGCGTCGCAAACAAATGCGAGCGCTTAGAAGGACATAAGTACTCGTATTTTATTCAGATCAGTTTTTTTTCTTCGCCAATTTTTCACAGGATATAAGCGGATCACCTGAAAAGTATTAATTACGTTTCAATTAATTCGAGCTCATTTCTGTTTGTTTTTGTTGATTTAATTTTCTTACTTTTATACTTGTTACGTCATGTTGTTTTTATTTATTTTCTCGAATTTTCTCGATAGTCTCAATTCAATATACTCGATATCTAATCCCTGTAAATATTAGTTTTATATATGAAACAACTATCAATATAAATTTGACGAGCTGTAAATCTAAAACAATGTACAATAAGATAACAAAAGGATTCAATTAAATCCTAGATGAATAAATAAACTATCAGAAAAAAGAAGGTAGTAATTTGAGGGAATCAATGAAAATGTATAATCTTTGTTGCACAAATAAGATTGTTTCAACTTTCTAGTTCTGTATATCGTTATAGGAATAAATTATGGAGCAGCGAAATACAATTTTGGGAAAAGTCAATTTAATAATAATTGCAGGGCAATCAGCGTTCATGTTGATAATAATCATAATGTACAGCACAGTTGAGCTCTGTGTAACTGTATATTACATTGTATGGTAAACACAAATATATTTTAATTAACCGTAATAATAATCCATGATAATAATAGTTGCAATAATGATAATAATAAGGCTAGCTACAGCATGATCTCTCGGTTAAAGAGATCATCCGATTCAACTGTACACTTTTACAACGTACCTCGTAATAATAATCTAATTACATATAATATAATTAGGTAATCATTACAATCTGAACCTAATTAGAATGTTGCGACACGTAAGGAGGGACCGCGAGCCTTGTTCTTTCGAGAAATTAATATGGCGGTAGAAAAATGAAAGAAAAATCGCATCTGTTTTCAAACAGAAATGCTATATCATTCTACATTATACAAGTACTACAATAATGCACATTGATTTCTCGAAAGTGAAGGTAATCTCTTTTAAAAGATCTTTTTCTTTGTTTTATTACATTCTTTTTTCCTTTCTTCTCTTTTTTAAGGTATAAAGGCACTGTACACGTAAACATACAATATTATAGAAAAGCGCTATAGGCGGTCCAGATGTTATACCTTTTAAATAGTAAAACGTGCCCGTTTAAAAATATCAACGTGATCCTCTTTTCTTTCCTTTTCTTTCTTTTTTTCTTATTATTATTACGATGCTACACGCTTAAAATAGGGAGCGGTTTCCTTCGATTCTAGCTGCATTGGTCAACGCTATATCTTCTTCTTCGACGCTATATAATCTTAACCTTTAAGGAAAAATATAGATGACTATCATATATATATATATATATTATATATCAGAATGTGCAGAACTCACGGTAACTATTTAGGAGGAAATAATTGGTCAATGCGATCAGAAGTTAAGAAAACGCTCCGGTTAAAGGTGGGATCTGTTTATCACAATTTGGCAGTGAACGTTCTCACGTTTAAAATACACACAGTTTTACAAGTTTTAAGCTACACGAATCTTCTTCTTCTTTTTCCTCTTCCACTTATGTTTCTTTTCTTTGCTACAACTTGCTACGGTTCACGATACATTTACAGACAAATTCGAAAATATGATCTTTCTTCTTCGCTACAGTCAGTTGTTCAGAAAAAATAAATCTTTGTCTTCTTCTTTTTTTTCTTTTCTTTTTTTTTAAATATCTGTCAGCTTCGTACACTTGGTAAATATACAACTTAAACTCTTCGTACATAATTTTTAGTGAAAATATGTTCTTACGTGTGCTTTTTCTTTTTTTCTTCTTCTAATTATTATTTGCGAAGCTCAAGAGGTGTTTTAAGAAGAAGGATCTAGGGGTACTCAATCTCTTCTGTGATAATTCTCTAGTGTTCCTGTGCAATGCTAAATCGTATAACTTTTTCAAATTAATCAGTTGCTCTCCGTATGAAAATACAAAGATCTGTATGTGCAAGATAAACGCTTGAGTGATTGTTTACAGGATTCATATATTACACAATTCTTTGCTCCTGTTATTTCTACTCTTGCTTTAAGAAAGAAATCAAATATCAACAGTTACTTACATTTCTTTAAACGATAAGTTAATACATCAATCGGATTGAGTTCCCTCTAGTCAAGTTCTCTCTGGTATTCCTTTAATTAAACTAACATTCGCAATTCGTCATTAATTACAGAGATAATTATACGCAATTTAAACATTGATTTAATGAAAAAAAAAAAAAAAAAGAAAAAGGAAAGCTGTAAAATGTTAAACTAGACACATCGACTAGCAAATGTACACTTTTCAAATACCAAATTTATAGCAATTTAACAAGGAAATGGTATTTGGAAGTTTACATTACCCAGTCTACTATACGAAATAGTATATTTTAACGTACCTAATGATCCTTTGTGCCTTTACTTTTTCTCTAACTTATAAACAAATTGTTTTGTTTGACGGTTATTCATAGAATCTAGTATGTTACCGTAAAAAATTTCATTGTATTTTCAGATAAATACCAATTATTTATGCTTCTTTATTTTCAGTATCATGTTTCATGACAAAATTTATTAACAATAATACTGCCAATTGTTTAAAGCTATAGAATAAGGTTTCCAGTTCATTCTTCTAATTGCAACATACTTGTATGAAATATGCTAAAATGAGAATTTCAAAAGATTTATCGTTAAGACATTAGACTCGAAGGACTTAAAACATTCCAGATAATTAAAATAATCGCAAACGAATTTGAGTAGCTAATGCTGTGATCAATTCTACTCTAATGAAAATTTTATTAAACAATGAAATTTCAATACGTACTGTCAATCAAAATTTAACATATAGTACGTATCTAATTGTCATTTCTGTGTCATGTACATGATTCCCAATTCTTAGATTGTTACAAGACGTCACCTACCACAAAAATAGTAATTGAACATGTCTTTTTAAAAACAAAGTTACACAGCTTTGTTTCTAGTCCCTTACAAAACACGTAACGTTTGAATTTAAATCAACTTTGTATTTAAAAACAAAAATGTAATCTCTAAGCAGTTACGGTTTTGTATGCACAGCATTGCATATGATCAAGGAAATCAATTTCTCTAACTCTGAGTTTGACTAAATTCAGACGAACCGTAGGTCGCAGCAAAATATACCTGCTAGCAGGACACGAAGGACCACTTCTAATTTCTTCAAATATCAACTATATCGAAACCGTTGAGCCGTATGTTTCGATTTCATTTCACGTTTACCTAATCTTATTACTTTACATTAAATATATATTTATACACAATTTATTAATCCAAGTTGTCAAGTCAGTTCGAAATATTGGCAGAGCTCACCGTGAAATTCGGCTGCCAATATTACATGCATTTGAGATCATTTGAGTGCATGGATTAAAATACTCCTTTAGCTCCTGAACCGAATTATGGTCGTCTAATGACCATAGATGTCGAGCTACGGATGTTCAGAAACTAGCATTATACACGGCCACTGTGGTATATTATGTATAAATATATATATATTTATACATATATATATTATATATTGCAATTGAACGACGCGAATATTAGTCGCGTGTACAAAAGAAATACGGCTGTTGTTTATCGTTAATTAACTCGGTGGAACCTAGCATTTTTCTAGAATTTTTCAAAAATACATCGTTTCCCGATGATTTTATTATGACTCGTACTATCTACCGCTTCTTTCATTTTCTCTCTCTCTCTCTCTCCCTCTCTCGCACGCATTTGTGAAAATACATTTCTTTTTATTCTGTTTTGTTTTCGTTTCGGCGGAACAAGAATTGCAATTATTTATACACTTGTGGTAGGTTAGGTATCATTCTGGCACGTACATTTGGCGTTGCTAAACACCAATGTGAATTGACGAGACTGAATTGAAGGTACGTTTTCTTTTTTTCATTAACTTTAAAATATGATTACTCGCTGTTAGACATTATACATCAGCGTTTCCCAATTTTTTTTCTTTCAAATAATCTTGATGTCATTTTATGTACCGCCTATAGGTTCTTTAAGATTCTCCAAATGCTCTACGATCGCAATTAAATTAAGTAGTATATTAAAGAAAAAATTAATCTACGCTTCTTTTTCTCTCTTCACAAGGTAAATTATATAAATCAACGAGATACTTAACATAATTAAAAAATTCATCGGAACAAATTCATTTATATTATAATTAATAATCAATAAATATTTTTTTACTTCGTCGTTTCATGATTGTGAAAAAAAGATTAAAATAATGCCTCACATGATTTTCAATTTCGTATCCAACTAATTTACACCACGCTTCTCCGTTGTTTTCGTTCGTGGAAACAACAGCAACAACAATAATAATAATAGTAATAATAAAATCTATAAATTGAGAAACGCCGTTTCATAATCAGTTCGCGGCACATGATCGTTTTTTCATGTTCGAAATATGCAAGTCGTTATATCATCAAAATCGCTATTACAAATAATACAATTCACTGTACAAATATTTTAGAGCCGCAACGACACAATGATTGATTTATATGCGAAGAGCAAGATATTTGCTACGAATGCCACTCTACTGGTTGCATACTTTTCTATCAAACTCTTGACGTATGTCGTTTTAGAAAAGTTTATTTAATAACACTGTATATTAGTCTAATTGTTTCGAAAATTGCTATGAAATCAATATCCTTGTTGATTCATGAATCGAACAATTGCCAGTGGCGGTAGGACATTCGTACCGTGCTAATATCTCGATGAATTTCATAAAAACCAATAATTGTTATGATCTGTTTGTATACAAAAAATGTACAAGTACGTTTTGAGCAGCTTTGCAATATTTTACATTTATATTCTAAACCATAACAATAGTTAACGATAGCTTATCCCTCACCACTTTGGACTAATAAGTGTAATCCTTTAATATATTCACAATTGGCAGTGAACAATTTCATAATTTTTCTTCTATATGCACAAAATTTTTCATTATACAATGGAACCTCGAATAATCTGAATGAACTAAAAAGAAATTTTTTAGCGATATTATCAAAGGATTACATGATATATATACATACATATATATATGTATATATATCGCGTAGTTAAAAGAAAGACGCAGTCTTCTCCTGTTTTCATAGCTTCGACTTGAAATACCCGAGAGCTGTATCAAATCTTCGTATTCATTGTTTCATATGAATGATTAAAAAATTATCCAAATATTGTCTACTAATTATCTGTACAAATCGCGCTAACTAATTGTTAGAATGATTAAAACTTTCAAATTGCTTATAATATGATACCACATATTACTCGGTGCCTTAAAATTAGTATGGAAACATATGTTTGACTTAGTGTGAATGGTCTAACGCATAAAATTTCTCTAATTTCTTGTCATTTTTTTCTCGTAGTAGCTCTCAGGTACCTAAATAATGCTTATCGTAAAAAGTTACTTTACAAACACAGAAATTGGTACTATTGAGTCACTGTAAAGTGCCCAAAAAGTCCAAATATCTGTGTTGCATGTAACCTCAGGAGGATTGGCTAGATTGAATAGATGAGGGAGTAGTTAAAGATGAATGTAACGCAAATCCATCGTAAACGTCCATTAAGTCGCGCATTCTATACTCTTCTAGACAAACGAATCCTTCTAATGATGGTGATTGTTTTCGTGCACAATCCATACAGTGTACTACGTGACGTTTTTCTTGTTCTCTTATAAACAAGATATTAAATACTTCAATCTGAAATAAAGATGTACATATTAAATTAGAAAATGTTATCGTTACTATGATAACTTTAGCTCAACATTGATGTATAGCGGAGTTCACCAGAGTCCATAACTGCAACGCACAGATTGAAAGATGGTGGGGGAACGCAGCGAGCTCTCTGCTAATCGCTTTCCACTTCGTTTGGGAGTATCGCCAATCAGGGCGAAGATGCGTACTGGAGATGCGCGAAGAACGAAAACTGGTCTTTTCGCAGTTATGGACTCTGGTGAACTCCGCTGTACTGCATCCAAGTGTAGACTTTTGTACATTGCATAAATTTTCTTTCTTTAACTATACATGTAAATTTATAAAAATTAAAAATACTTTACCTCGCACTGGCCACAATAATGCGACGCTTCGTTCTTTCCTCGTCCGTGAAATCGAACTTCGACACCCTTACTTTTTACAAACTCTAATATTAAGCAGCACTGTCTCATTGTCCTTAACAGGCAATTTTTAATTAATTCAAACAGTCTGGGATCTGACACTTTGATATTCCGAGCTAAATTCCAGGAAAGGTGTACCATTGGTACTATGGATTTGAACGACTGTAACTTGTTCCATTCGTATCGTTCAATTGCCAGTTGGTACTGACGAGCGGTCAAAGGGCCTACGTTCCATGCTATGTTATTACACCAACCAACAGCTTGAACCCAATGTACACATCCTGAGGAAATAGTAACATTTATTTACAATCTATCAATAACAGTCGCTATACAAGAATTCAGCTTGACGTTCAATACTGTGAAGCAATATGTATGTATATATGTACTATGCACCGATCGCACATCTACTAACACCCGAGTTTTACACGGTTTAAATAGTGACGTGACCTCTTCGACCAATCATATGTCAGGACTGAAAGTACGCGTGAACTGAAGTTGTCAAGTCAATCGGATTGCGTTATACTCGCGGGACTTCTTGTGATTGGTAAACAGTATTTATGTAATAATGTGCGTTCGTCAAATGTATTTTGTAATTTCAAATAAATTATTGACTATTCTAAAGCTTTTATCAGATGATTATGTTAATTATTTTAACGCTTTTATTAAATAATTAGATTTATGATATTTGCTGCGGTTAAACTTGGACTCCAAATTCAGTGCTTTTTCACTAGACGAACAGACACTATTGATATAAATAATTTGTTCAGTATCTGATAATTATTATATGCAATTTGCTTACCCGCATTAACCCAGACAAGATCGCCTGGTCTTTGTAAAAACCTATAGACCGGAATATTTTCCTCGTATAGGTCCTCTAAAGATGGCCACCAACTACCGTGAAGGTAGTTGATATTATTACGTTCGCAAAGAGAACAAATTACACCCCAATATGCATCAGGTACCGCGAACCACTCGCAATCACCTGGTCCAATGTTGATATTAATGGAACAAAAATTATTATTCTCCTGATGACCAGGTGTTCTGCTGCCAGGTACCTATAAAAATAAATAAATATTAGTTAATAAAATGAAAAGTGTGATACATTTAATTAGAATCGTACGTAATAATACCTTCATGTACAGCTGAACAGTATTCATGCCTAAAATAACGTGACCAACATGACTGAGCATATTTCCAGCGGATACGACTCTGGCAAACGCTGGTAATTTCATCAGTTCTTGAAGCTGCGGTTTCCATTTTCTTTCATCCGATAAATCTACATTGGTCCCAAACCGCAGCATTTTCGAGCCTGGTCGGCCGGCCAATCCAAAAGCATTTTTCTTCCTTCTGACAGCGCCGGTGCTGTCCTTCGAATCAGAATCGGACAGATTCGAGGTGTGTATACCTTGAGCTTTTTCTCTTTCCTCTTTCAAACTCTCTTGAAAGCTAGATGCTTGATACTGTGCGTATTTCGCGATGGTTGTATGACTTCTGTGACTGATACAACCCCAAACTTTCCTGCCCATAACGGGATCCCAGTTTTCGTCGCTGGTTTGTTGCATTTGCGTCCTCACCTCGATACCATGGTCCGGATTCGCTTCGACCAACGTTTTTGTCGAGAACAATCCAAGATCCAGCTTCAATGCAGCTGCCAGACCACGAATCACAGCTATCGGATGCTTCAAGCAAAATTCTTGAAGCTGTGGACTGAACGCGTCCTTCTTATTTTCTAAATAAACGCTAGGAGTCGGTGGTAGGAGCTGTTCCTTGGTTAGCCTCTGACTCGGTGGATCGGGTGGTGCCGGGGGTGGTGAACGATCGCTCAGTATCGAACAGTTTGGTACACCTTTCAACCCTTGACCTTTGCATGCCTCGATAATAGTCTTCGAATCCATCTCTATACTAAGTTCTTGCTCGGGCTGCGATTCGCATAAGCTCTCTAATTTCAAAACCGGCTCGACTCGAGCAATCGGTTCTATTTTATTTGTACTTGACGTCGCCTCGCACTTAACCGTCTCGACCGCCGTGGTAGGCGCCTTCGAATTACTCTTCTCGTACGTTTCGAGTTTCGTGGACGTGGACGATGGTTGGCTATCCTCTACCTTCTCCAGTTTCACTTCCTTGATCTTCTCTGTACTTTCCTCGAGATTCGACGGTGAAAACGGACCGGAACTTAAAGTACCATTGTTCATAATGCTCGGCGCTTCTTCCTTTACGTCTAAATCCTCGGAGCCAAAATGTTTCAATAAATCTTCCGCCAACGAGGTCGCGATGTCCTTCTGCGACAACAGTGCCTGTAACTCTTGATCCGTGACTCCTAGATCCTTGTTACCAGCAGAACCTTCTGGATAATTGCTCGTTGTTGATGATATCTGAGTATAACCCTGGGCGGTATACTGATTAGGCTGGTACTGGTTGTATTGGCCGGACGACAATTGTCTCTGAGGATAATTTGAATCAGAAGCAGACTTGTAAGGCATTCCTGGTGTTTGGCTGTTGCCAGTCGCTGCTGTATTGTAACCGACATTCGAGTCTGAGAATCCAGTTTGCAATGCAACGGTTCCACCCTGCTGTAGCTGTTAAAAAGAAGCGAAAACGATACCTCAGTTCCAATATTTTAATCTTTATCGTTGCCGAAATAAATGTAAATCATGAGAATTTACATGTCCAAGTAAATTATTATATAAAGAAAAAGAAAAGAGAAGGTTTAGGTACCGGTTGTTGAGGTATCCCATAGTTCTTTATTACACCAGCTTGTCCCAGTTGTGCGTGATTGTACCCAGTGGGATAACCAGGTTGTCCAGGCCTCAATCCCCTCTGCGCAGCTTGTTGTTGTTGCAATCTAATTTGCTGCTGATGTTGTTGCATGCATCTGTACTGTTGCTGCAACTGAACAAGCAGACCTTGCTGTTGAGGCGTTAAACTTCCATGATTCTGTTGAAGAAACTGTAGCATTTGTAGCTGCTGGGATGTAAGATAAAAGGGTGGTGGCCGCTGTTGCGAACCTGGAGAAATTGGCTCTTCTCCTTGCTGAAAATGTTGTTCGTCTCGTTAATTCAAGTCTCACGTGTTGAAGTAAAAGTACTACCTTAAATCTTTTTGTATTAAGGTTTTGTCCTTGTCCCTGGGGATACGGAGGTGGTGGCCCGGCAGGTGTAGTACCGTACTTGTAACCTGGACCTGTGGGTGGTTGCTGTTGTTGCTGCTGTCTGCTTGACATCTCAGCGCTGATGGGTAAGTTCCAAGCGTCTTCTATACACGGCAATTGCCGCCTCCTTGATTGAAAATATAAATTATTATCTGTTAGTCAAGCTAACGTCTAATAACATGTGTGTGTGTGAATATAGATATATTATTACAACTCATCATTTTGACAATATTTTATTGATAGTTTGCGTTTAATCAGACTATTTTTTATTTTCCCATAAAAGTGATTATACGGAAGGAAAAGAAATGAAAATTATCTTTATCAATTATAAATTTGTACAAAGAAGAAAATATAAGGTGATATAAAATAAGAATTTAATTTCTGCATTTAGACTGCGATCCAGCCAAGCTCTTATAATAAATTATTTGAAATTAAGCCGATGATAAAAAATAAATACAGATATTACAGTAGGTTAAGAGTTGATAAAATGTTGATTATTTATAGCAAAATCTTATAACGCATCGGTATAGTAAATGATTTTATTCTGTAACTGAAAAAGCTTATCTAATTAACTTAAACGACTTACGTAATTTGTTATCACAAACATGTTCATAACTGCTCTTACATTTTTATTTCTTCTAATTAAGAAATAAATGGTGCGTCCTTTTGGAAGAGCAATATTAATAAATGAAAGTATTGTGAATGATAACATTGGAAACATTGGAACATTCAAAAGGATTGACTGTATTTACACCTGGAAAGCTCAAACAATATCGTACAATAAATATTACGATTAAAATTATTTAACAACTTAAAATGGTAAGCTTGTTTACTTATCTTATAAGAAAACCATAGGAAGAAGTGTTATGCATTGATTTCAACAAAAATTCATATATAAATGGTGAATCAAAATGTATTTGGTAGGATACATAAAGGTAACTTAATTTCACTTTAAAAAAAGGAAGAACTGGGAGAAAAATAATAATAATGAAAAAAAATACATGTTCATGAGTAACAAAGTTTAGTTACATAACAAAGCTCTTTTATTAGTATTACAGGACTGTTACTAATTAATTATAGCTTTATAAAAAAAATGTAAAAATAGCTATTTAACATGCTGATTGTTGTGTTAGATTTAAGAAATCTAATATCGTATGGCTGTTATCATATAAAACTGAGCTATATCTTAATTAGCTATAAAATAAAAATGATAAAACTAACGATTATAACGCGTTCACTGCCAAACAGGTCTCATCAGTAATTTAAGTAAATACCACTTAAATTCTGATACTAGCAATTTGAAATAAATTGAGAAATTATAATTAGTATTACGTATAATTGTTTCTGTTATGGCAATCAACGTGTTAATTACCATTATATGAGTAACAGTTCTTACCGTTAAATTATTCAATTATCTATGTAGCCAGACCGGACAGGTCAAATACTTTTCAATTCTCCATTTTATTCAGAAATTTTTGTTGAGAAACAATGCGTGAAAACTCTTAGACTACTTAATTGTATTCATTTATTTGTCACACAGTAATTAGTGAGCCAGAGAATATCTCGTGCACTTGAAATCACTGGGAAGCTTCCAAGTGTCATTTATTCGTGTCCTTTCGAAATACTTATCAGCATCTGATCAATACTGACATCAATCACCCGTTTAGGTCCTCTGACGAAGCAGCAACGACGGCAATACGTTGAACCCTTCCAAAAGGAGTACACGTTAGAACCAGCAAACTTCAAGTTTGCTATAAATCACCCAGGAACATTGGGAATCTCATCATATCATCCTCCAACAGAATCGGATAAAACAATACAATATATAGCTGGATCTTCGATCATGATGAAAATCATAGATACAGTAGACTTCCTCTTATCTCTCCCTGGCTCTCCCAAGAGTAAGACTTCTCAGCCAGAGTGTAAAATAAATTTGTACGAAAAGCAATGCTAATATTTTCAAAATATCATTTAAGAAGGAGTCTACTGTAAATTGATTTGCTTTGAAACCAACTCACTTGGTAGCGACGGAAGGCATTGGTGCTTGGCTCAGGTGACTTTGCAAGAAGTTGATCCGTTGCTGAAGAGATGGGTTCATCGGGGTGTTACCACCGGACTTAGCACCGCCTAGACTCGCCAATGAGCCCGTGCAATTTGGCGCGTTATTACCCCTAAGGAAGAAAAGAGATCGTTGTTTCCATCACCTGTTTCAGACTTCATGGATAGGTGAGCTTTCGGTATTTGTCTTTTGAATACCCCTTTTTTTTTTTGAACGCTAACCCATCTATATCGACTTACGTATTTCTCTCGTTCATCACACGTATTATGTGCTATGCATCATTGTATGAAGGCGGTTATTATGCAGCTTAAACGTATATAAGAGATACAGTGAATACATAAATACAGTGAGACATGAAAGAATCAGGGCCAATGTACTACTCAAACTGGGATATACTTGTGAATGTCTTTCACGCTTTTTATCAAAACTACTATATATTATCATCTCCAAGCAGGGTCGGCCTTGGGCCTAGACAGACTAGGCGGCCATCTTGGGCCCCACAAGGTCCAGGGCCACCATAAGACGATTTTGTGTTTAAGAATGCAAGAAGAGTGATGTTTATTGAATATTAATCGATGTAAATGCAAATCTAAATTAGTTATACAAGCTTCAATGTTAATTTTATAGATTGAGGTACTCCCTGATCGAGCTGATTTTTTTGCCATAGATAGCCCTTGACCTGGCGATTCCAATAGTGGTCATCCTATCCCTTAACTCCCCCTCCCCACAGGGGTCAAAAGTTGAAATGGTCTAAAAAGTGGTTTTTTACACCGATCATTTCCAAAACTAAACCCACTAACCTAACCTATGAATTACTGAGTTTAAATTACTCGTAAGATCATTTTAGATTAGGTTAGTTTTTTGGTTTGTTTGTTGCGGGGAGGATGATGTGTTCACTGAGATCGGTGCAAAAAAACACTTTTTGAACTATTTCAGTTTTTGACCCCTTGAGAGGTTGTTAAGAGATGGGAAGACCACCTTTGGAATCGCCAGGTTAAGCAAATCAGCTCGATCGGGGGGTACCCAATTTTCTTAAATTCAACCCATATATGTATCTGAAGGGGCCCTTTTTCGGAGCTCGCTTCGGACCCCCGAAATCTCAGTGCCGGCCCTATCTCTAAGCAAAATAATCACGTATAGTTTTAAATTAGACCAAAGCTGTTTTGAAGTTACAAAAGAACAAGTGTGCTACGATGGACAAATTGCCAACTAAATGCTGCTACTGAACGTGTAAGAAAACCAAACGATCAAAACTGCAGAGGACGTTATACTTTTTATAGTTATGAAATCATTCGGTGGTGCGTGAAGTGGAAAAGGATCGATAGCAGTGATCGATACGACGCTTCTATTTATTCGAATAGAGAAAAAGAGTACATCAGTTGATACACATTATAAAAAACGAGTAGAGTGCATGGGAGGATGAAAATTTAAGGAAAACCTTTAGATTCTTATTTGGGAAATACTACAATATACAAAGTTTGCTAAGAAATCTTTTCTACGAACACAGAAGTTATACGATTGCGTTAGACGGAGACAGAGACACAGAGAAACGGTAATTCGTTCCATAGAACCCTGAAAGGTGTTTCAAGCTCCTTTCCACCGACGGATTACTTTACCTGGATGCGTTGACGTAACACGCTAGAGCGTCCTTTGGTTGACTAACGCTTTCGTACAAAATGCCCACATTAGTCCACGCGGCCGAGTGTGATTTGTCTAATTGTACGGCGCATATGTAGGCTTGCAAAGCGTCCATAGGTTGATTCTGTTGTTGGTACAACACCCCTATGCTGCACCACGTGTCGGCATTGCCTTCGGATTTTTCCACGGAATTTCTGCAAATGAAATAACTATTATCAGATCGACGCGGGCAATGATTTCGCGGGCTCGAGGGACACGACAGAAATCTCCCCTTACAGCAGGGATGAGCAACCATTTTTTTACAAATTTAAAGATGTTGCGCGGACCTTATGATAATACAAACACTGAATAATGAAATTATTAACAAAATAAACCTAGTATAAAAAATTATAGAAATAAAACACTGATTAATAGAAATACTATTGAAGCCGCCGGGCGTAACATTTCATACCAAGAAATGTCGATGCTTAATTTTTGGAAATGATGGCACCAGTGTCTATTTATGATCTCAGCATCATTTCCAAAAATTAAATTAAGATGCCTAGGGTACAATGAGGCTGCGGGACACAGCAGGAATTTTTAAAAGTCAAAATGTAAAATCTTTGAAGGGCCGGACGTGAAAGTGTGGGGGGCTGTGGGTTGCTCATCCCTGCCTTAGAGTATTTAAATCCTGGTGAAACGAAGAGTGTAACGACAACGTGTGGGCTGCATGCCAGTTAAGAGGCTTATGCGTTTGATGCGAAAGAAATTTCGAGATTAAGTGACGCTGATGGTGAGAGGGCAAGAGTTACCTGTAAGCGATAAACGCATCATGAACTTTTCCAGAAGCAGCCAGACAACGTCCCAACAGGTAAAGGCTTTGGCCGCTCTTCGGTTCCGCTTCAATGGACTTTTGCAAACAGTGAATAGCGATTGCTTGTTTTTGCTGTCTCGTTATACCTAACACTGTACAGTCAACCACGTGATACATCCATCCTGAAACAATGAACGCGACAAACCACGGTTAAAGAAGATATTACTTCCATCACCTGTTAATTGCTATGTCATCGCTGAATCACTGCCGTTTGCTGCAATTGTTTCATTTCACTGGGGAATACTTGAAAATTTTCATTGTCGGTTAAAATCTTAAAGATTGCTTGAAACGGAGCGCGTAGGGAGGAAAGATGGATAGAAAGGAAGCCACGGGAGCAACGTTTCCCGTGGATTGATGCGAATCGAGGACGTGTTGCCTCAACACTAGACCAGTACCGAACTGAATAGATTTTCGCAGGTATAACCTAGGGTAGCCACTTTTACCCCACTCTCCCCCCATCCAGGCAGTCTCGAATTACAACCCTCTATAAACATAGGCGTAGAAACGAGCCGGGTACAGGCTCCATCTTAGAAAATAGTTGAAAAGTTTCTCTAGGAAACGGGAACACTCTCCTAGTTACATGTATGTTGAAGTAAGAAAAACATTGAAGAGGAAAATCGTCATTTTAACTTCATCCCTTTTTCAGCCGACGGTTTTATCAAATTTCCTCTGAATAGTGTACGGTGTAAAGGGTTGTCTATGAATCTAGGTATAAATAGGTTCAAGGTATGCGTGTACGTGCTATCCTTAAAGGCAGCTGTTACAGCTGTAACGGTATACCTTTATTTCCAAGTTCCTTCCTCTTCGTCATTATATTCTGTGTGTACGGCTCTTATTTCCCAAAATTAAACTACACTAGTGGAATTAATTCTGGACACTTTTAAATTTTTACTTCAATTTCGCATTTATTCAAATTATTTATTATTATTAATTTATTATTCATTTTAGGGCGTCGCTTATATAAAAAAATTAGTAAAATGACAATTTACAGCTATACTTTTAATATACAATAAAAATTACAATTTCAACACATCAAAGGAGGTAGAAAAAAATTAATATTTCGTTGATATTTCGTGTTGCCAGGCGCAAAAAGAATAATAACAACACAGTTTAGATTTTTTTAAATTAAAATGTTAAATCATTTACAAATGAAATCGTGTGAAAATATTAAGTATAAATATTATAGATTAGAATAAAAATATTGCGGTATTAATTTAGCATAGCAGAATATACATTTTCTGCACAAATATGAAATAAAGAATATTTGGTAAATGTCTACAATTAGGGTCCCAATGAGAAATCAATTGAAAAGAGGTAAATTCTATGTACTTTTGCCCCATGAATCCAGAAATGTTGATAAAATTCAGGGGTCGCTTGTATTTACTAAGATATTGTGGTAAATATTGACAAAAGTTAACGACTTTGTTGGGTAGACAATACTTTTAAAGCGCATCACTAACCTATATAGGTTAGGTTAGGTTATTAGAAAAAATGTAACCTCACGGCAAAAATTTGACCGGTCAACAATACTCTCCTTGCTTAGTTTTAATTCCTGTTCATAGAATGCACAGCGCGGAAGACGCATCATAAGAAAATATCCAATAAAACAATAAATTCTAAAGATTAGAATTGGCTAGTCACGTACCACTTTTAACACTTCGTTTAAATTCACGCTTTGAAGTTATTCTTTTCAAGGAAACTATTGTTGACTGGTTAAGTTTTTGCTGTGAGGTAAGTAATATCTTTTCTGATAACCTAACCTAACCTAACTTATGTATCTTAAAAAATACAAGGGACCCCCGAATTTTATCAACAGTTTTGGATTCGAGGGGCAAAAATATATTAGAATTTACCTCTTTTCAATTGATTTCTCATTTAATTGTAGACATTTACCGAATATTTTTATTCAAAGTGTCCCGAATTAATTCCACCAGTGTATTTATGGAACCATTAACAGATACAAATTAATATTTTTATTTCCACGTTTATCATCCATCAAGATTCTTTTATTTCCCGTCATGAAATTTTGATCGGGACAATTTTCGTGCCTTTACAACTATTATCCACACACGTACACGCAGATGGTCGGTAAATTAAATACTTGCCGTGGGAAAACGCGAATTTCGTAACAAGTTGTTACACAATCGTAGAATGCGACGTTAAATGCACGGCGATTCTAAATGGAATTAAGTCGGTCGGTGTTCATAAACCAACGAACGAAATTAAAGCATACCAGTGTACTCTAATTGTAGCTAGCCATTCATTCATTCATTCATTCGTTCGTTCATTCAAGTAACTTTTCGTACGAGCTCTTTTTTACAGGATAACGTTTCATTAGACATTACACAATGCAGCTCGATTCTGTTGACTTTGTTTCATTTTTCGTTTGGAAAATATTTATGGTTTTCACGTACGTATGCAATTTAAAAATTTTCCTTTCTTCCCACGACCAAGGAATTCTCGAAGCGTTTTCAATCGAGCCTCGGGGCAAAGTTCCATAAAACGCGAGCACAATGCTTTACGGACTGGCCCTGATGTTTACAAGGCAATTACACCGGCATAATAATCGTGGAACGACAATAAAATCGCACGAGTTCGTAGAAAATTGGCCAGGACCATGTTTCCTTTATGCTCGAAGATTATCCCTCGGATGAAATTTCTCCGGTTTACTCGGCGCGTATACCTGAAGGTACGGAGGTGGCGAGATTGTCGCAGCCAGGACAAAGTTATGAAGTAAACGAGGGGACGGAATTACGGAAGGGAAGTAAAAAAGGAACGCTGTATCGGACCGGTCCCGAGAGGTTGACACGCGAAAAGCAGTAAACAGGTTGTAAAAGAGTCTTGTACCGTTTCGGATCCGTACATGGGCGTGCGAAACTTTTAGGACAATTACCTTTTTTTCCCTCCGTTTTCGTTTTCGTTTTACACCCTGAAGGGTCAACAACTGGATAAAGGAACGTTTGCTTGGACTTTCACCTTAGCAAAAACTTGGAAGCGCATATTCTTCGTCGTTTAATGAAAAAATTATTCGATAAGTCAATGAAAGGGTTGGGAAACGAAGTGTCCCAGCAGCCGGAACGTTTGCTCGTCGAGGGATCTACCAGGTGCAACTAGGTCAGTGCGACGTGCGGCTTGACCTGTATAATCTTTCGACTCTACCTGCTGTGTCGCGTAGCGCTGTCTCATTAAACGCAAGCCAAGCACCTTCCCAACATACGTTTCATATTTTAATTGATGAAATAATTTTCATTGATAGCTGACACGTTAAATCGTATGCGGATCATCGATGACCATCGTTATGAATTTAACCCTTAAATGCATGATTTTTTAATTTTGACCGAAAAAAATCTATTATATGTAGATTATTATATAGGTTTATGCGAAAATACAAAAAAAAAAAAAAAATTAGTATGTAGGTTTTCATTTTTTAACCGACTTCGAAACAGGAGAAGGTTATTCAATTTGATCAGTATACCTATATTATTATGATTATTACCATTATTATTATTATCATTATTATTATTATTATTATCATTATTATTATTATTATTATTATTTTACTATACCTATTCTGCATACTGTATCATTTTTTAAACAGATGAATCTCCAAAAAATTTAATTCTATTGTTACTCTTAACTTTCACGAATTTCTTCAGACGCGCCAAAACAATTCGTCAATTTAAATGTCATTTTGAAAAGCGCGCGGATTTACTTTTTCCTTTTTTTTTTCTTTTTTTCATACTTCGTTTGAATGGACCAAGGTAATATGGCATACAGCCAAAAGTAAAACTTTCACTACGGTTGATACTTAAATTAGGAGTTAAAGACAGTGTTTCGTATTTGAGACATTATGGATTTAAGGGTTAATAATTGAAAACTAAAGAAAGTTTTAGGTATTTTAAAGTACAATAGTATCGATAAAATTGTAAGGTTGATCCAATGAAACGGGAACTGTACAAAGTTACATAATCCTTGCGAAAGAAACATAGACGCAATAGAGGAGAATGGTACCAGGAAGATCGTAAGACAAGGCTGGATGGAGGGAAAAAATAGTAAGGAAGAAGGGGTGATGGAAAGAGAAAGTAGATGGTAAAAAGGGGTGAGAAGAAAATTGGAGAGCAAAATCGAAAGAAGAACAAAGAGAGAGGGAGAGGGGGAGGGGGAAGGGAGAGAAAATAGGAAGGGTAGAAGAGTTGCCACAATCTCGTCTCCTTATCGAATCTGATCCCACCCCTTTTTCTCTCTCTCCTACCCCTTTCTTCTCTCGCTCGAATACGCACACTCTCCCTGGCTAACTCTCCCTCCTGCTCTGCGCCCCATCTCATCGCCAGGCCACCTCAACCCGGAATAAATCAATACACGTGTCTGCTACTTGCTTGTACACTCGGTCCGAGCCTTAAGCCGAATCCTAGGAGGCGAATGCTCGCGACGACGCGACGCGATGAAAACAATTTCAAAAGGGGTTGCCGGTTTAATTAACCCCCGTGTACAACGGATCGAGACCGTGCGTATCTGACCCGGGAACATTGCCAACGCGTTATCGCGGCTAAATAAAAGATCTGCTTACCGATTGTGCCCGCGATTGTTCAATTACCGCGACCGGGAGGTAGGACACCGCAACGCCGAGGATCAAGAATTTTTAATAACCGCATTTTTCCCATTCGTGGCTCGATGTGCGGTTGGTCAGGTGTGGCTTGGAAAATCGTAAAAATTAACGTTCAAACGATAACGCCCGCGCTAGAGAGAGGATTGGTTTTGGACATTTTTCATAGGGTTATATGCTTGGATTAATTGAAAAATATGATTTCAACCCTCTATCGCATTCCGTTCCCAATTGGGAACTTAAATTTCAAATGTTGAACGCCATGAGGGTCACCGGTGATCGACATCGCAAATTAGACATGCTTGAATAGTAAAAGAAAACAATAGAAAAACATTATTTTAAGTAATATTGTTATGGTACACATAATGTAAAATGGTAAATAGAGAGCTTAAAATTTGAAATTTGAAAATTAAGTATTTCTAGAGATTCGCTCTAGAGCCAACCCTTTTTCGGGCATTTCCGGTCAGACTGCAAAAAAAAAAAAATTTTCGACCATTCGTTGAGATTTTGACCCACTATACACAATGGCGCAACTCTTACTGTTTGGCCTGTATAGAAATGAGAGAAAGTCTAAATGCTATAGCCCCCTTATTAAGATTTTCAATCTTAGAAATGGGTTGGCAATAGATAGTTGGTAATAGTTGGTAATAGTTAGAGCTTCAATACATCCTATAACAAATGACCATTTCCACCGTGGCATTCAACGCGTTAAGTAGACAATACTGAAGACTCTGATCATGTTGGTTCCAAGTGGGAACATTATGAATAAAACAATGTAAAGAACCGCGACCAACTTTAGATGTACAAACTGGCCTCTGTAGACTGAGAATAGGCAAAGGTGTAAGGTAATAGGATGCAAGGGCAAATTAGGAATTATGTGCGAGAAATGTCATATGCATTTGTTTCTATGTTAAAAAAATTGTTTTCGTGATGTTCATGCAAAGTTTTATTTTGTACCTGCATATGTATAAAGTTCCCATACAGGAACAGTTATAAAATGCAATAAATAACATTTTCGAATAAAATTTTATTATTTATTTCATGACCACACTGATTTTTAAGTAGACTAACAGCCATATATATTTTTTCCAACTCGTCATAAAAATTCATGCAACAGTGTTAAGTAACTGAAGTATCAGAGAAATTTGCTAGGGCAGACAAAAATTGAACTTACCTAATTGACGGCAAATGTCAGCCTTTAAATGAGAAGGTAGTGCCTTTTCTTTCAGCAACGCTTCGTAATGATCCCTTGCTAAACGATATTTCCCTTGGACTTCGTACAAATGGGCTATATGAAATTTTACTGAAACACGCAACACGAGACAAGTATTTTAATATCACAGCTATAACAAACTACAACGGATAAACAATTTTATTGTAGGCGTTTAGTGGAGGGGGAGAGAGGGTTTCGTCTCCCCGGACGCCTTTAGTTCGGGCCGGGACCGCTAGGTGGCGGCGAGATGATCGATGATCAGTGTTCTCGTTAGCGGTCGCCCGGCAATGCATTTCCAATATAATAGGAGTTCCGAATTGCGGTATGATAGGTGTCTGGGGCAAGGATCGTCTGTTGTCAGCCCCACTGACGAGTGTGACAGACGATCCCGAGACGAAAACGCCTTTTTCTCCCCTCTCCTACATTATCAAGATACTAATACATAGAGGTGTGCAGGTATCCTAAAGGTACGGGCTCGAGTTATCTTGAGAAAATTGAGTGCCCTTACTTTCGAGGACCAGCACATCTTTACTAATAAGGTATAAACAATTTTTTTAATCTCTCTATTAGATAATTATGATTGCGCCATTGGCATGGGGAAAAAGTTTTGAATCAGGTTGATGTACATATATCCAATGACGAATTTCGCACTATAAAGTATTTGTCATAATTTGATAAAAGCAGTGTAAAATGGTGTACACTTATAGCATATCAATTTGCAATTTAAGATTTGATGCAAATAACTGAGGTAGGTGTGCAGAATTTAGACATTTTTAAAATAAGATTTCTTCTCCCCCCTCCTACATTATGTAAAACAAAATTTATATCAAAATTTCTTCCTCACCATATCATGGACCAATGGACCGAACTTAGAATCTTTCAGGGCTGCTTTATATTTTACAAGTTCCACTTTCGGCTGAATAAAGACACAAAATGATTTCCTCGGATGACGAGGAATGATCACTGACGAATGATGATTCACAGTATCCGGAATGGTTTAATCATTCGATGGAATTATTAAATATTGATTCACGAATTTTTGATTAAATTTAAATTTTTAAATTCCGCATTGTACATTTGAAATTGAAAGCTACACTTTTATCGGAAAATTTATGCAAATACAAGGTACGTTAACGGGAGAAAGACGCGCAGCATTCAGCACGTATTGAATAGCGAGTCGCGTTGCTATAATCAGTAACGCGTTCGCAATCTGTGCGAGCGAAATTTTATCGTCATATCATGTCTTGTATCTAAAAGTGTATTTTTATTTCCTGTGCTAAATCCAGACTTTAAACAGCACAACAGACAGAGTCGTTTTCCGGTTGCGAGTACCAGCGGCGTGACTCACTCGAGCTTCTCGGTACATAATCCAAAGTGACGCGGGTAAAACGGTCAAATAAATTCGAAATTCCCGACACGGTAATAGGGATCCCCGTTTTTAATATTACACACAGTGGGTCACAAAATTATTTGCTCACAGTTTAAAATAGAATTCCTCATTTAAAATTGGACTAAATGACTTCAGGCTTTTTGAGAAGCTATACAAATTAATTTACTATGTATTTTTGCTGTTTTAAAAAATTACAATTTGGTGAAATAGTGAAAAAATATAGTGAAGGGTAATTTTTCAACTTTTTGATGCAAGTCTATAATGAAAATTTAAAATATGTCTTTCGTAGATTCAAATAAGTTATGTGAATGCTGAAAATTTCATTGAGATAATTAATAAAAATTAATAAACTTGAAATTCCTGAAATAAAAAAAATAAATTAATCTAGAAGTTACAAGTAATCAAAATTCCCGAAAATCGCGACTTTTCACCTAAGAACGTGACTAATTATGTTCTTAGATGAAAAATCGCGAATTTCGGAAATTTTAATTACTTGTAACTTCTAAGTGTATTATTGACCGATCTCGATGAAATTTTTCACATACACATAATATACTTAAATTTACAAATGTCATGTTTTAAATTTTCATTGCAGGCTCAGATAAAAAAGTTAAAAAATTGCCTTTTACTATTTTTTCCCTGATTTCGACAAATTGTAATTTTTTAAAACGACAAAATTAATTTGTATAGCTTCTCGGGAAACCTCGAGTCTTTTGGTCCAATTTCAAATGAGGTATTCTGTTTTACATATTTGACATTTTTTTTTTCTTTTTGAAATATTAAAATTTGAAGGAAAAGAAAAATTGGCAGAGCATTATCCTATGGGGTGTAACGCGAACGATCAGTGATCCTCCCCATAGCAGTCGGCGTGTTTATGATGGCGTTTATCGTTCCCTTAAATACCGTATAACACGTGATACGAGTTATCGCATTCACACGTGACACGACATTTGCTGTATCACGTTAGAAAAAGGGGTCAAGTTCGCGAAAGAAAGTGAGCAAAGGAGGAGATCGGGGGCCGAGATGTCAAGACGTGGTCGCGCAGCTATGTAATAGGGGCTTCTCACGCGGCGGAAGTATCGATTTCAACGTGGCTCGCTAAATAATTCATTAAAAGTGCACACGCAAAACCAACGGGATTATTTTCCCTGCCTGTTACGTGCCAACTTTTCACTTGCCATCGTTTTTTTTCCCTTTTCAAAACCCATCGTATTTAACATCCATTAAATGTCTTTCAATATATTCATGTTACTTCTTGTATACCAACTAATTTGTTTCCATTGAAAATAAAGCGTTAAAGCTAATTAAAATCTCTGCGATATTTAACGAGGAAGAAAGTGAGTGGAACGACGTGACGCAACATGTGGTATGGGAGTAAAATTTCCATGTAAAAATGGTTCACGGTTGACAGCTGTTCGCATTATTTCTTTCATCTTTTTTTCCTTTGCCGGACAGTACCGTTGTGTAGGCGAAAAGTGAGACTCACTTTCGAGTTTGGAGAAAGAGGCAGGTGTGGTGGCATCGATCAAGGCGAGTGTCAGGTGCTTCAAGGCGGCATCAAAATCAGCATGGACCTTCAGCATCAAGCCGAGTCGTAGGTGAACCTCGCAGGCCCGTGGAAATCCTGGTTCCACCCATAGCACCTGCTGAAATGCTTTCACGGCCCTGAAACCCAACAAAATTACGGCGTATCGTTAGATTACATTCATCGTGTATTCGTGATTACAAGATGTCGACAAATAATCGAAACAATTCGCGATAAATAATTTATCGCCAGCTGTCCGGAGGGACGCGTTTCCTTTTCGGGTCGACGAACGACCCCGATCGGCTCTTCGAATAAGTACTGACTATGTATTCGAATTGTTAGTCACGACATCAGACACGTCATGCAAATAATAACCGTTTCGTGACAGTCGATTTTGTCTGGACGTCGCTTCTCTATTATTTAGGACACACTCGACGAACCATTGGATATTTAGAATGTAATTGAATAGTTGCCTGTTAACACGTTGTTTGCGGGAGTCGTTTAACTATTTAGAGTTAGGTGGATTAAAAACTGTCCCACCTTTTGCTTAGCTTTTTATGCATGGTGGGATATGTTTTAACCCACCTCGAAAAGTTGAAGTTCGTTATATAACCTGAATTGACTGCAAGAAACCGATTAAAATTGATTTCGGAACTGGATGTCTTACTGTTTTTTGAGATATCGTGGTACAATTTTGTATAGTTTCCGAATGGCCCCACCAAAATTGAAAACTCAAGTTCGGTATATAACCTAAAGCGACTACAAGAAACCGATTAAAATTGGTTTCACAGCTGGATGTCTTACCGTTTTTGAGATATCGTTATAAGAGATTTTTGTACAACTTTGGGACTACGCATGCGCTATTCAGTACTGTGCATGCGCTATTCGATACTGCGCATGCGCTATTCGATACTGAGCATGCGCTATTCTCGTGCATACAAAACCTAACCTAATCTAACCTAGCCTTACCACGATATCTCAAAAGCGGTAAGACATCCAGCTCTGAAACCAAATTTAATCGGTTTCTTGTAGTCAATTTAGATTATATACCGAACCGGAGTTCTCAATTTTTAGTCGGGCCATTCGGAAATACAGCGGTTACTCGTAGTCATACAGTTTAAATAAATGTTTTTTCCCATTTTAAAAAAAAAGTTTCCGTGCAAACAGGATTTTTATTTTCTTTAAAATCGCGTGCCTCAAAGAGTTAAACGCGTCTTTTGCATACTGTTGGCAGAGAGCGCGAGACGCTTAAAAAGAGTTGTGCCGTAAAAATTAGGCGCCAGCCGTTGTGAGACATGATCAATAGTTCCGACGTTATAGCTATTTTACGTGAAACCATAATTTCGCGCACGAATCTGAAAAAATTGCCCGCATTACGGGGTGGATTGATGAAAAAGAACTGCCTGAAAACAATGTTGCTAAGAGGGAAAAAGATTCGATCACGGTCGTGTAATTAATACGTGGCAGGGCTTAAGATTCCTTCAAGGTCCGCGCCGTTGAAAATTCGAACCGCCCTGGGTGCAGGGTGGCTCGTCGACAAAAATAACATTCGCTAAAAAGGAACAGGTTTTGCGCGATCTCGTTACGCTGAAGCGAAAGCTTCAAGAATCGTGTGTCGAATAATTACACTGGTGGAATTAATTCTGGGCACTTTGATTGATACCGTAATATCTTTATTATAATACATGATTCGGTTTGTAAATATTTTAAAATTTTAATTAAAAAAAATCTAAACTGTATTGTTATTTTTATTTTTGCTCCTGGCAACACGAAACGTGGCCAATCACATGATGAAAGGATATCCAACGAAATATTAATTTCTTTCTACCTCCTTTGATGTGCTGAAATTGTAATTTTTATTGTATATTAAAAGTATGGCTGTAAATGGTCTTTTTACTGATTTTTTTATCTAAGCGACGCCCTAAAATTAGAAAACAATGATTAGAATATAAAACAAATAATTATATATTAAATAATTTGAATAAATGCGAAATTTAAGTAAAAATTTAAAAGTGTCCAGAATTAATTCCCCTAGTGTGTTTAAAAAGATTGTAAAAACTTTGATTTTTATTATTTCTTTACACGTTGGTAGATTTGCGCCCTTTCCGTTTCGACGCCATCAGCCGTGGCTGCGTGCAAAGATGGACAGGAAGTGGTCGGTGTTCCGGCTTGTCACGCGAGCAGCCGTACCGGGACACCGACCAAACCATAGGGACACCAGCGTCGACGTTAACAATAACAATTGTACACAATTGCAAATGACACGGTGGACCGATGTTGGTACTCGCTCGAGCGAGACCAGTGCAGCGGCTCGCTTCATCGACGAAGAGGACGACACGATGAAACTGGGCCGCCGCTGCGCCGATTCGACGGTACGGAACAAATGAATACTTCCAGTATCATTGCGATATGAGCCGTTATTTTAGAAAGTGGTATAAGTCCATTTTTTCATATACCGAGATATGTAAGGATTTTCGTTGCAATAAATTTAAAAATATTAGCAAACGTTAATCAATTTGGATGATGTTTTTAAGACTATAAAATTGTTGAATTTTATTATGCAATAATAATTATTAAAAGTGTTAAACAAAATAAAAGATTTTTTGAGCTTCAATTGGACTTACACCACTTCAATAATAACATATTATAAAAAATATAAACAAGAGTTAATTTTTATAGACTTTGGCTTTACTGAAATGGATTTTTCAATGTAAAAAATAATAATTAGTGGGAAGACATGTAAGTACACGAATAACCAAGTTTATTAAAAATTAATTTCAGTTATATTTAAAAAGAAAATATAAATAAACAAGTGTAAAGAGTAAATTATTTTGTTAAGATAATTAAAAATAAAAAAAAGTTTTGTATATTTTAAATTTATTTCTCCTTTACACTTAGCATAGTGAAGTATTCATGGTAAATAGATGGTATGTAAGGCAATAAATTTATCATATCGTTATATTTCTCCCTGTTTATAGATCTTGAAGTTTTATACAGTGGACACAGTAATTTTGCTGAGATGTTAAATTACTTTAAATAGAGTATTTTCTTTTATACTAGCTTTGTAAAAAATTTTGAGCGGTTCATCCCTTTTAAACCTGATCCAGCATATTTTCAGTCAATGTATCATTTTCCCGTCCATATTTAAAGGCAAAGTTGCTTCTATTATTATTACGAATGGACTTATTGCACTTTCAACAAAAACATTCCTGCGATTTTTTATTAATTTATGAGGATATTGTACACCATCGACTGTGTGATCATAAATATGAAAAAACAATTTCTATATCTGACTACTACTGACTATCATTAACTCATTTTTTTTTTTTTTTTTCAAAAATGGACTTATACCACTTTCATAAATAACGGCTCATATAATACTATAAAGTATCACCGATACTTTTTAAAATACGGTGAATTTAGAATTTGATAAGTCAGAAGCGAGCGTGTAGCGAATGAACTAAACCGATCAGAGACTTTGGCGAATCGTTGGGCGTGCGACAAACGCGAAAATAAGAAGAAGGTTAATTCCGTGCCGAATTACGAGGACGAATTAATTGAAGCGAGCTGGCATCGCGCAGCGACCTGGCACAATAAAAAGTAAGTAGAAGGAGCAAGATAAAAAAAAAGGTGGAAGAACACAAGAGTAGAAGGCAAAAGGAGATCGCGTAAAGGCGGTAGTAAATTTATTCACGAGAAACACCATTCATCGCTTCATTCACTCGCGTTTCCTTTCGGGGGTTCGTTGTCTTCGTGAATGAGTCACTCTGTTAGCGATCGTGTGGGAGAAACAGAAATGTCAGTGACTCGGTTTGGCCCTTGCGAAACATCCGCGAACGGAATCGCGCTGAAAATCAGCCTTTCAATGATTCCGTCAGAGTGCTACAAGTCATCTCCACAAGGTACGTATAGAAAAACAAAATAAAGAAAAAATATTGCCAATCTTATCGTGGAGCAAGTGTCGGGTACAGTTCCGTATTTCACCGCCCCCGAAATAGGACAATATACAGGGTGTCCCAGAACTGGGGTAGGAACGGAAGAGGGATGATTGGTGAGGTCATTCTAAACAACTTTTTCCTTTGCCAAAATGTTAGTTAAGGCTTCGTTTTCGAGTTATTATCGAAAAACACTGGCCAATCAGAGCGCGCCGTTAGCGCGGGCCGAACCACGAGACTGTTGGGTATGTTTCGCGCGGTCGTGATCAAGTGCATCGGCACCACGTCGGTGTAATAGGATTCGCTATTCATGAGTAATCAGTAATTCGATACAATTATTCTTTTCTTTTTTTTATTCATTATCCGATGCAACTTCTACTCAACGAATCCTATCATACCGATGTAGTGCCGAGGCACTTGATCACGACCGCGCGGAACATACCCAACACTCTCGTGGTTCGGCCCGCGCTAACGGCGCGCTCTGATTGGTCAGCGTTTTTCGTTAATAACTCGAAAACGAAGCCTTAACCAACATTTTGGCAAAGGAAAAAGTTGTTTAGAATGACCTCACCAATCATCCCTCTTCCGTTCCTACCCCAGTTCTGGGACACCCTGTATACTTGACCTAACCTAATACATCAATAATATTCATTTCTAATTGAGTTTTAATAGACAATATATATTCTGAAAGGTCTCAACGAGTCCTGTCGAATGAGCCTAGTCTCAGGTTGTGCAAATGGGAAAGATTAACCTAACCTAACCTAATCGAGAGAGGAAATGCGATTGGGCTTTGTACGATATGGTTAGGGTCTTCGGAAAAAAATTGTTCTCTTTTTTGCTCCTCGGAGACTCGAACTCCCGGTCTCGCTATCGAAGAGCGAGTGCCTTAACCTAGAATAGTAACTTTAAACTTCCTTTTAAGTAAAAAGTACAAAAATTCAATCGGTAATATTTTTTCCATTATTCGTTTGCGCAACGTGGGACTAGGCTCATTCGATAGGACTCGTCGAGATCTATCAGGGGACATATCCCAATTTTGGTTCTACGAGCGGTGAAACATGGAACTGCAGCCCAAGTGTCTAGTTATACAGGGTATTAAAAAATACCCTGAACACCTCTACACCGCTGGATAGATAAAGAAAAATCGAAGTGAAAAGTTCTGTAGCATTTTTTGATGGGATCAATAGTTTAGCTATATTTCGTTG